AGGGAATTGGGAAAGATAATTATTTAGGAGGATTATGGTCTGGGGAAAGATGTCCACTTTCTTGTTTGTAGCTGTTAGGGAGATGCATTCAGAAGAGAAATCACAACTGTGAGTTAAAGTGGACAGAGCAGATATTACCCCATTATAACTGCAGTAGAATTGTGCTATGTTTAATTTAAGAACTGAATTTTGTGGGCCTTGCATTGTGAGTATCTGACATCCATCATGGTTTTAACACCTGATAGAGCAGATTATATCACTGTCATAACTTTCCTGATATCATAATCTTCCAGTGAAGTCTTTCCAAACATCTGTCAGTTCAAGTCTGGCTCCTCGGAGTCAGCAATTCCCAACAGGCTCCATCAGTGTGTTTTTGTTTTTGTTTGCACTGTTGAGAGAAACTCTGCACAGTATTGCCTGCATTATGTTATTTCATTGTGCATTTGGTAGTGTAACCAATGCAAGTACAACCTGCACATTATCTGCACAGTGCGCAGCTCATAAGAAAGCCACTCTCCTTACTTATTCTCAAGAGTTTACAAGCTCGGGCAAAGCACCAGCTATGCTCCAAACCCCTCTTTATCCTCATGCTCTGCAGCTTACACTGCTTTTCTTTATCCCCCTGATGCCGGCTTGGGATTTCAACAATGCTGGTGGTCTTGCCCTTTTTTGTGTGCTGTATAAAGCAATATTGTACAAGAATAAGGAAAAGACGAAATGTCATTACTGAAATTCTCTGTTTCAATCAGTTTAACTCGACAAACAGTGTGGAGCGGTGCTTTTGACAGTGTGATGTAAAGAAGGACGGTGTAGAATAGTGTGAAAATACAGAACGCAGTTCAAATTAAATAGGTCAAACATGAAACTGGCACATGAAAGGCAATATGTATGTAAATGATCAGTTCAGTGATGTCTAAGTAGCTTTCTGTATGGTATAGAAGGATTGGGCTATTTTTATTTTAATCATTTTAGAGAATTGCACACACTCCAAAATCCGAACCTCCTTGGATTTTTCCTATTTGTCCTTCAGTGCAAGATCCTGAGCACTTTCATTATTGGCTACTTCATTGCCTTGGTTTGTTAGTTGCTGGTCGTGCATTTTAATCAGCTCGACCATCCTCTTTACCTCACTATTGACTAACAGCAGTATTACTCAACCCTGGGCCATGATACTAAGCCTTGCAATTGGAACCAGTGCAAATGAGCAGAGTGAATTAAGGCAAAAAAAGTCCCACACAGTGAAGTTGCCAGTTATTACCAGATATCAGCTGCTAGATTGGATAGCTGGAATAAGGGTCGGGGATTACGGAACTAAGCCTGTTTTGACTACAGATTGTGTGGGGGGCACTCAGAATGCACATAGAAGCCAGCTAGGAGATTAAAAACAGTGAGGCGAATTGCTCGGTGGCATTTGTTGCATTTGTTTGGTAAAAAACATTAAACAGGAATTATACTGGACATAAACATCCTAAGCCCTTCACTTGTGTTATATAAGGAAGGGGTTGTTTAGGGTCTAATACCCATTTACCCATCTCTTAACTTTCAGATTACCTGTAGTTTTCAGAAAGACTTTGCCTTTGAGTTTTAGGACTCTTATGAAGAGAACGGATTGTTAAGCAGGGTACAGTGGAACGGTGTGGCCCTCATTTCAACAAGATCTTATTAGAATCTGATAATCAAACACTGAAAATATGAAAGGGTTTGAATGCAAAAACCTTTGAAAGAACACTTGTAAATGATGGAAACAGGTACATCATTCATGCATTTAATTATTCAAAATAATATTATTCTTTAAAAGTTAAATACATAGAAATGTCATATTAAGGTAACTACACTCTGAACCCCCTCTAACATATGGAATCCCATTCCTGCCAGGCAGAGGAGAAAATAATTCATAATTCACCTACCTGTTTCTGGCAGCAGTATGTCAAAATTTTGATTTTAGTTTTTTGACATAATGATTTATTTTCTAAAAAGGCTGACTTACTATTTCAAAATAATGACTTAACCTCTCAAAATATCACCTTACTACATCAAAATAATGACTTCATTCTAAATATTGGCTGTCAGAATAAAGACATTTTCACAAAACGTCGAAATAATTACTATGTTAAAATAATGACAATATCAGAAAAGAAGCAATTATTTCACGATGCATGACAAGTCAATATTTCGCAAAAAAGTCATTATTTCAAAATATCAAGCCAATATATTGACACACTGCTGCCAAAAACAAAGGAGGGAAAAAAAACGTTTTTTTTCTACCTGGCGAGAATGGGCTTTTACAATTTTTCATGGAACCTCATTTCCATGTCAGTCTACAGCTCTTGTTGATTTCATTGGAATTTCCCAAGCACTAGCGTTTTATTGCATTAGCTCACTGTGACCAATGTTATTCCTGCTAGTATTACAGCTGCATCATACTGCTTGACAAACAGACAAAGAGGTGTGAGCAGTTCATGTAGGGACAGGAGTGAAGATCTAAAGTTCTTTATTGTTCCTGAAACCTTATATCCACGTTCCTGACTCACCTCTGTGCACCACGTCTGACGTCTCACTCTGCAGAAGGCTCCAGACTGATCCTTATCATCTTGTTTATTCACGGTAAAAGACATCAAACAATTTACAAATGAAAAAGCTTTTGTGTAGAGGTGTATTTACACGTTCAGCCCGTTTTACTTACCTGCAGTACCTTCCGATCTTTATCTTGAGAAGAAATCTGCCAAGAGAGAGACTCAGTAGTCCCTGACTTTCCTACACACTGATCTTAGCTGCATTAAAACTCCTTGAAAACATGTTTCTAATTGAATTTAGTTTTCGGTTCCCAAAAAGGACGTCAAAAATGTCTAACCTATGCATATCCTGCTTCTGATTCCTACGTATTTATGACTACCTATGTGAAAACAGCTTTCCATTGTCTATCTAAATGTTCTTTATTATATATACAGTATATGCCTTGGTGTTTATATACATCATGGTGACGTTAATCTAAACTGCTATGCTATTTTTTGTGTTCATATTGTTTTCAGAGGACTAGGTTAATGAAAAAAAAAATAAAATTTTTGTGACAAGAATTTTCAACATTTTTTATTACTTTTTTCATTTATTAAAGAGAATTTCTTTACAACATACATTTACCTGTGAATCAGATGTTAAGGAAGTTGGAGAAGGGCAAGAAAAAAAACTTTGTGACAGAACAATATCTTACAGGCATACAAACTTCAAACGATTTTGAAAATTTCCAACTCAGTTCGCCTCTAGCAGTGTATAGCAAAAAGGGGTGAAAGACAAAAGGCACACCAAAGGGCCCACTGTCCACGAATGCCATCAAAACCCGTGGGCCGAGATGCATTACTCAGAAAAAGAGGAGTGAGTGTGAGTGTCCCTTTACTACTCCTAATCTGACCCAAGATGGTCAACGCAGTCTGACCCTACAAGCATCTATGTACATGTTAGTCCAAGTAGCCACATGCCCAAAGGCCAGGAAGGGTGGAGATTCTACTTAACCCATCCTTTCACTCTGATTGATGAGTTGCTTACGTTTTGGAAGGAACTGCTGTCGGAAACAGTAGAAAACTCACCAGTCTACAAAGACTACACTAGAGCAGTGCTTGGTTCCTTTGGGAAAGAGGTGAGCCATAAAGTATATGTTGAGGAAAACAGTTAAATACCCAAATCAGACATTTAAAACCCCCCATTTTACATAATATGATAGAGTTAAGAAATTATATTAGTCGGCATCTGTCATAAACATTGAAAGCATTAATATGTTCCCTAATATTTCAAGTGCTTCTCTTCACAGGAGCCAGCCTGTATTTGCTGCCTAGAAACTGAGTTTTATTATGAATATTAGGAGCCTCAAGCACTTGGGGTGAGGGGGGCTGACATTAGTTTTGTAGCTTAAATGTTAGCTATTATCCTATTGCATTGTACCAGAACCAAGGAGGCCTTCTCAAGTATACACTGGTTAACTTAGCATATGGTCAAATGAAAGTAAAAACACCATCAGAACTGTGAAAAATAAAGACAAACAGAAAAACAAAAACAAAACAAAAACAACATGGACAACACTGCCAGCACAACAAAAGGGAAATTCAAGCATTTCATTGGCACAATCAGAAATCAATCACAACGTTCGTGGTTAGCCCCTGCCCTCCCACCCAATATTTCCAAAGGGAGCAGAATGAACAACAAGAACACCTACATTCTTTAATTGCTTTTTCATCAAACGAGGGAAATACGTAATCATAAGAACTACTATGTAACAATTAACAGCTAACAAACTTCACTACTCAGGGGTGTAAGGCACAAATTTACACGTGGAAGAAAACAAAAAAGCAGGCTACCAAACAAATGTAGTACAATGAAAGGACCTGTATGAAGATGAGACTAGAAAATGATACTTATGATACCTGCCAAATTAAAAAAAATGAAACGTTCCCCCTTCATGCTGGCCGATCGCCAACATCCACCCATTTGTCTTGCTGTGTGTTTGAAGTGCAGATTATCTGGGACTTTTTGTTGCTGTTCTTCTTCTTTTTAGTTTTGCACAATTTCATGCAAAAAAGTGAACCAGAATGGCACTCAGTGAAGCTGTGGCCATTAGGAGTAGAAGTTACTGACACAATCCACAGTGCTGAAAGGAGATGCCCATGGAGAGGTGAGGGTGCGATCCAGGAGTTCCAGTTTGAGGATTTTTTTCCTTTCTTTCCTTTTCTATCCTTTTTTTTTCTTTTTTTCAAAAAGGGAGGTTCATCTTGGGGTGCTGCAAGTTCAGAGCCCTTCCTGAGCTCCTCTGGCACAGTTCAATAAATATCTCTTCCATGCAGAGACCTTAATTCTCTCCAAGTTCTCTTAGCAACGTCCCAAAGAAATTTTTTTTTCACCAACGAGAAAAAGTTGTACTGGCTCCAGTTGAATGACTTTAAATAATTTCACACATGATTAATTAAAATTAAAAAGTTCTCTCTCTCTCTCTCTGAGCCTAAAAAGAGTCAGTCTTTCTTTGAAAGCACTTTATTAAAAAATAAATACAACCAGCTATTAGTACTAACAGTCACGGATTAATCAGTCACCAGTTACAGTAGACGATTTTTCAGACCTCGCTAAAGGCAGAACATGATTGCTGTGTCCAGTAGCTGCAACACTGAGAGGCATTGAGAATCTTTTTTTTTTTTCTTATTCTTATTTCACAGTTTTCCATTGTAAACCAGCTGTTGTTCCAGTCTGAGCTTGCTGCGTCCTAGTGCTTTTGAACTGGGCCATATCCCAGCTTCAGAACTATACAATTACACTCCTCTCTGTGATGTGCTTTTGGCAGTCCATTAAGAAAACAAAACATCAGTTGCGACGTGGCCGTGTCCTCAGCCTGACATACTGTCATCTTGAAATAAAAAACACGCTATGGAGCACCATGCGGCTCAGCGATGAAAGATTTAAGAGAGATTCCTTCTCTTTTCAGTAGCAGGTGTTCCATCTCTCACCGTCCGGGGAGCCGGAAGTCAACAGCCTGAGCTTGACACGTACATATATATATATATATGAAAAACGTTGTTTTTTTGTTTGTTTTCTTAAAAAAAACAGTGAGTTGCATTTCCTGTACACAGCTGTACAACGCAGATGCACTTTGTGTATCCCCCTTTTACCCTTACACTGATTTATGTGCATGAGTCACTGGACTTGACTTTTGCAGAGAGGGTGACCTGTGAGGGTTTAGGTGGGACGTCAGGTTTGAGGTGCCTGGAGCCACCGCAGCGAGGCAGGGAGCCGTAGGAGCTCAGGCTGGAGTGTCGAGAGAGGCCCACAGGTGGAGGGGATGCAAGATGCATGGAGTCCACCCTCTGGGGGGCTGGTGGCGGAGTTTCGGCCCGGCCAAAGCTGTGGTTCCTTGACAGATGGGAGGAGTTGGAGGAGTTAGTGTTGTGCTGCTTCTTCTGCTTGCTGGAGCCTGCGGGGTAGCCGCGCCCGTAAAGGTCAAGCCTTTTGCCCATTTGTGGAACTGCTGGCGGCACTACAGCAGCCAGAGAGGCCTCCCGCTGTGGAACTCGAGGCGGTATCCCATCACCATCTGACATGGCAAGGCTGTGACAAGGACTTTTGATGGCTTTGTACTCCAGAGTGGCGGCCTGGTCTTCAGGCAAGTGTGGCTGTTCCACATACTCGTGCTGGTAGGCCTGCTGATGCTGGTGCTGAGGTAAAGGCAGCACCACCACACTTGGGATGTGGCCTGGTGAGGCCCTCAGCGGCAGGTCAGTTGGGATGACCGGTGAACCCATGGAGGCTAGGTCTTTGGCGCAGGCGTTGATCAGGTTCTGGTTCCGCTCCCACTCACGGCTCCCCCGGCTTGGTTTGCGGCGTGGCTGCATAGGGGTGGACTCTGGAGTGGGTAGAGCGGCCAGGTCCAGATGGTGCTGCTCGGCCTTGATGAGTGTCTTGCTGTTGGTCAAACGGCCGTTGTGCATCAGTGGTGCAAGGATGGCCTCGGGACGGCCATCCTTGGCCTGCGTCTCAAACAGGCCAGTCAGCTTGGTGACGCTGTTCATAGAGCCACGCCTGGAGTTGACAGAGTCCTTGTCTTTGCGTCCAGTGAGTTCAAAGTCCCGCCGCCGGTGGTGGTCGCACACGCAGTATACAATGATGCCTGAGAAGACAGCACCCATGACAAAGGCCAGGATCACAGCGACAGCCAGTAGAGTGATGGGGACCATTTGATCCCGACCTTTCTGGAAGCTTTCGCGAATCACTCCTGCAGAGAGAATTTGGAAATGCTCTACATCAACAAGCACAACATTTGGACAAGTGAAGTGCAACAATTAACTACTAGAGGTAAACAGTCCCAAGCATACCCTACATAGCAGCCTGGAAATGATCAACACTAAGAAAGGGACATGTGCTAGAGCCAAAAAAAAACTAATGTCCAGGAAGAAAAAAAAAAATCAGTTAAAAAGGATACAGTGCAGTTTTTTCACTTAAAAATTGCCAGACAAACAAATCTATGACAACTCTTCTTCAAACGCCTCTGTTTTTCACAACAGAACTTTAACGAGAACAGCACATACCTCACAAATGACCTACTGTACTACTGCTGCTAGTGAAGCCTGAAAATAAAAGTGTTTTCTTGTACTGCATTTAAATCAGGAATTATTAATAACATGCCAAGAACTTGAAGCACAAAACTACCCAGACAAGTCTTTAATGATAACTGCAAGAATATGTGCAGTTTGACTTTATTATGAGAAGGGAAATAAGCATTGTGTTATCCACATTGAGGGGCATAAATCTGGGGTTTTGCCTTGGAAGAGTAGAACAGCATGTTAACATTAACATTCTGAAGATTAAGTATGAAAACGATTCATCCACTTTCTGTAAGGATTAAGTGGTCCACACATCCACAGTCAAACTGCAAGTTGCAATAAGTCATGGTTAGCACTGATTGTGATCTGAGTCACACCCGCCTCATGAAATCCACAGGGTCATGTCTAGACTGTGCTTGGCACCGTCGCTCTGATCCTTGGCAGAAGAGATATGACAAGCCGATCTTTAATGGAACAATCCTTGAGTCGTCTGTCAAGGCGGCACTAAACTCGATCTCCTGATATTCATTTACAACGCCGCTGTTGCTGGCTATACATTTCACTTATCGGAGCAAGTGTCTGCCTTTTTAGAGATTGCTGTGGATCATGAGGTTTTATCTTGTGACATGTTGTGTGTAAGACCCTGGATGACAAAGCGACCTGTTTGTACACTACACACATCTGCTTCTTCTCTGCTAATGGAGAGATCTAAGAAGTTCTCCTTTTAACTTCATCTGCATTTTTTCCCTCCCAAGTGAACTTTTTCCCCTCACAGCTCTGTTTCACATCTATTTGATGTTTTGAAGGGTTTCCTATCCACAGCTCCATACATCTACTGCACACAGCAGGGGAGATAAAGAATCCTGAATGTGTATCTATCTGAAAGAGATTTTTAAAATAATTGCACTAAGAACACAGATGCCAATGAATTGTGCTCAAGTTGAACAGCTTTTGTTAAAATACAATGATTGTGCACTCATTGGTCATTTTTTCAGGTGAAGATAAAAAGGATAGTTCTGCCAAAAAGGCTAGCATGCGTAAAAATTTATACAAGCTTTATTTCCCCTGCTGCCTTTCATTCTCTGCTAGCTACCTTCACTGTTAGCCATGTTAGCATTTTTTGCTGCCCCTCTTGGAGTAAATTATGCTGTCAATGGAGATCCTGTACCAAAAAGTCTTTGAAGCCCAGAAAGACTGTATTCAGAAAGCTGTCCCTTTGAGGTATACAGCAGTGTTGGACAATTGCCTAAACAAAAAAAGACATGACAGTTTATAGGCAATTAGCATGGAAAAAAGCAGAATGTGCTTCTCTTCTTCACGCATATACATTTGTGGGACAGTGATGCAGAAAATGTGTGGAGATATTGGAAATGAACCTAGTTCAACATTCTGCTTTGATTTAATGAAGTTTGAGAAACTAGAGGCAGTCAGTTTTGCATGGATTTTTCTCTGCTTTTTAAAAGCGGCCATAACTTTTCATTAATGTCCCAGAAGCATGTTGTTGGGAGGCTTCCTTTACGAATTGCAGCAGTTAGAGCAACTAGACAGAGGCAAAAGCCTCACACATGTGCTGAAAGAATATTTACCATCAAAACAACACTACTTCAATACTCAAGATTAGATGTATGTCTGAAAAATTGCAGCACAAAGTTTGCCACGATGTGGCCATAACATGAGCTTGCAGTCTATGTTGTTGTTTCACGAATTCTGTTTCTGGAGTAGTACTGCACCCTGTAGAATGCTTAAGTGTGAAAAACACCACCATTAACATCACCGTTAATCTTGTTGTCAATGAACACTAATTTTCTCTTTTGTCTCAAGGTTGTTGACAAGTCCATTATTCTGCTGTACCTTTAAATCCTGCGGCTCACGAATGCACAGTTAGCAGGTGGTCCTGTGCACAGCTAACGTCATTTTCAGACACACTGTGAGGGCATCTTGTGGTCGCATCAAGGCCCAATGTGATATAGCAGGGTGAACATGAATTGCCTTTAGTGAGTTGTGGGAGAAGAGCTTAGTTTTAAATCAATCTTGTCCAGCGACTGAACCTTGTTTGATGTGGAGAGGAAAAGAGCAGCACTCTCATTGGAGATCAGGCTCAGGGACTGAGGATCACTCTGTCCAAAGAGATGAAGAGAAGTTAAAGTGCTCCTCCCTTGCTACTGCGGGCCACTCTCTTTGACCTTGACACAAGGCTGTGAGGATATGGAGGGGCCCCACTTACACACAGCCTCTGGGCTTCATCGGACCTTTGAAGATTTCTAACTTTCATGTATGAAGTCAATTGTTTCTTGAGTAAACTTCAAAGGGGTCTGCAGCCATAAAGAAGGCCAGGTCTCCGACAAGTACAACACTGCTTGTTAGAAGCAGAGGGCTAGAAAGTCTCACTTACTTTCAACATTCACTCTTTTTAGCTAGACCTGTTTTTACTCTGTTGATTTTAGATGCCCCAACTGGCTTTAAATGCAAAAGCAATTACTGAGGTTGCCGATACAGCCTTGTCAAATAGTCTCATAAAATTCATGGGCACCAAATAAAACGCTTTAATGTAACCTTTTCTTCGCAGGTCGTTGACAGGAAAGCAGGCACGAGAACAAAGCTTGTGATGAGCATTCCACATCTGAATTTCATAAGGCTTTGGTCCCTGACAAATTAGGGAGCGTAGAAAATGGTTCGCTGCATTTGAGAGGGCTAAAAAAAATCCAAAGTCTTGCTTGTCAATATGTTCCATCCTGTGCGAAGAAATGACTTGCGAATATTCACACAGACACCTAGGCAATCCGTGTGGCGTGATTTATCTTTTCCAAAGTCGTTCCGTTTTATGGTGACGTCTGAAGGGAGGGTAGGAACGATTCAACTTTGTAATCAGACACGTACATGTGCGAAAATGAGCCACAAAGGACTTTGAACGACTTGCTAAAGCACAAACGTGAGTGTTGATTGACGACGGGCAGGGAGGAGCTCCTTTGAGGGCCCCAGTTCAAGTGACACATGTTTCTGTTGAGCTTCTCCCACATGACAAATCCTGCATTCTAGCCTAGCAAGCAGTGTGGAAGAGTTCGGCACTGCCACTACATCTCTAATGTTTACTTCTCTGCAACATAATCAGATACCCTCTCGGAACACTCCATTTCAAATGTGTTTGCACAAAGAACAGGAGGGGTTACGACGCGCTCAATATTCATTTCCGCTCTCTCTGCAAGGTGTCCCTAATTCTCCTGCATTCACAAAAACAACACCACCGCTGATCTTGAATCACCATCTTCTCTGTTATATTTACCCACAATTTCAACATTGCGCTGTTGCAGAATGCGGTAATCAACTCTTATTGAACAAACACTCACAAGATAAATATTCAACAAGCAAATATGCCACCACAATAGTTCCAGTGAATTACTGGAGTCTACCTACAGGGCACATAATACATAAGCCTACATGATTCACAAAGCAAAAGGTCTGAACATTTCATCATCTGTGTTCCAAAGCTACAGTAGGAATAAGTAATGCCTCCTGCCTGTCATTATTAGGCAATAAAAACATGATTTCTTTTTTCCTCTCCATATCAATAAAACTACACTAATGTCTTTAATAAACTCTCTGGTACGTTTCATTTGTCAAGCATCATTTTTGTAGGAAAAACTAACAACAGTTCATTCATTTCAGTGCGGTCACCTCTTTCTGCTTTCTATCTCAGTAACCCCCGTTACATTATATTCAAGCCATTCTGATGTTCTTAGAACACTGTGAGAGCGCTTTCTCTTTTTTTCAAGTATTATTGTGGTTTTGCTGTCAGGGTGAATGGCTGATTATGCTTCTGCCCTAGATCTATGGAGATTTTTAAAAGGCTTTGTCTACTGCATCCTGATTGAGGCCATCACATGCGCGCCTTCATAATATTTAGGGTTTAAGTCTGGCATATGCCACAGCGCAGGGATCTTTCATTCACAGCTCTGATGTGCACGTGACACTGTTCACAAGACTGCACATTCCCTCTCAGAAAATGTCATGCTGTGTTGTGTATCAACAGCCGTACTGGCATTTATATTGCGTCCTATCTGCATTGGAGTTATAGATTCTAATCACAGCAAATATTATAAAATGTCATGCCTTAGATTTTTAAGAAGTAGCTCTGACATATAAGGTCTGTAAAAAAAAAATTACATGTAAAATAGTCTATATAAAAAGAACCAGTAAGAAATCGGGAAGTAAATTTTATAAGAGAAAATTCCCAGATTACACAGTGGAGGCAAACTGCCACAAAGGGAACTGAGTTAAGTCTTAAATGAAATACTTCCCTGAATAAACACAAATCTTAAATTAGACCTGATATGAAAGGCACTAATCAAATGTCATTAAGGCACAGGTAGCTGGAAATAGTAATCTAGTCTAGACGCTTATCTCTCCATAACCGTCAATATGATGGAAACCTCTGCTGTAAAGCTGTGTCAAATATGCTATAAAATGTTAACCATTCCATAATGGAAGCTCACTTCTCTGATTTAAAGTCAGAGACCAAGCAACCCAAGGAAATGCCATTAGGAAATGAACACACTGGCTGAAATCCAACCTCCAGAGGGGAAAAAAAGAGGTTTAATTCAAACAAAGAAACCAAATCAGAGGGTAGCGCTTATCTGGACATGTCATTCCCTGGAAGGTGGAACTTTCTGCAGGCTTCACACTTGATCTGTGCTGCACTATCGCATATCAGCCCTTGTGTTCACCCAGCCGAGGAACAGTAAGTTGGGTTAGCATCGATGGTGAACATACATATCGTGCAGTTATGACACTACATGGAATATAGACTGAGAAACCCCAGAAAGACTGCTTTCTCTCTGTGTGTCTATATTGCCTTTGTAATTGACCTATAAATTCGAGAGGCACATAGAGACAGCCACAGGTTGGTGGGGAGGGGTAGGGGAGCAGAGGGTGGGAAAGAAAAAAAGAGAGGGGTAGAGGGAGGGGCTGACAGAATCCATTCCCCAGACGAGGGAAAACGAGATATGGCTCCATTTGGGAAGAAAGAGGGTGCGCTGTACAGTAGATTAGGGTTAGTAATAGGTTGTGGCTACATTAAGGTACAGCCTTGGAACGTTCCATCTGGGGAGATGAAAGGTCCTGTGGAAGGGAGACTACTCACAATGGCAGCAGATGGCGGAGGTGCAGATATGATGGGGAGGATTGTGTGTGTGAGTCACTGCATGACTGTGTGTATGTATGTGTAGTGTGTGTGAGTGTGTGTGTGTATGGGGAGGGGGGGGGCAGTGGGATCTCACACACGCACAAATAGATGAGACTAGACACACAGTGCTCAAATGTACTGCGAAAAAATGTTGCCACCAGCCAGCTTTGGTGCGGTGGGAATGGAGCGAACTCATAAATATTCCTTTTTTGAATATTCATCAAATTCACATTTTGCCAGTGTTACACTAATGCACCATGGCACCGTGATATTACAGCAGTATGAAAATTCAGAAATGACCACACTGGGCAAATCGCCTCATGTTTCCATACTGATAAAATTTTACATCAGACTAAATTCCACAGTTCTTTCTGCAATGAATAATTTGCTAATGGTCGTTTTAGAATATGGCTTAATGGCACACATGTCCAGTTTCCACTTTCTGTTTTCACAGTACATTGGTCACTTTGATAATGATAACAAAACACATCACACCACAGATATGTCCACAGGAGGCAAGGGGGCTGTGTGAGAACTGATGAAAGTGCTGTTAACATGTTAAGCAGAAATAATATTGCAGTGAAGGACACAGCTGTTATTGCAAAAGAAGACTCTAAAAGCAAAGCAGTGAAGTCAAATGCCATGCAAGAGCAAGAAACAGAAACAACAAAACATCATAATTACTCACTTAGATGAACAGATCTAATGCCTAACTAATTGCAATTGACATTAAAAGAAGCAGCATATAATAATAATAATAATAATAATAATAATAATGCAATAAAAAGAAAAGGAACAACAGCAATACAAAGCTCTATTTAGATATGGGCCTCTTTGCCTATACCAGTGATTTGGATGCCAGCACTGGGTATTGGCAATGGAGGCAGCAACACTGCAGTGATGCCAAATAAGCATGCCTTTTCTCTGCCACCATTGTGTAAGTTCAACAGGTGTTTTGCTTCCAGCGACCAAAAGACGGAAATCCCCCCGTGCCTGAGTAACAAAAAATTCACACAAAAATTTATTGGTGGTCTTAACACTATGGACTGGATGGACGAGTGCATTCTGTTAACTGTTTTACTTGAGTTGTGCATTTTAAGCTGAATTTACACAAATGCCTATTGAAAGAACATATGATTCCTTTAAGCCACCTAACTTACTGTAATTCACACATATGCCTGGCAATATGAATACTTATGCAACCAAATTAAGCGAATTAAGTGAGGCAACACAAAGAAGTCCTTTTCTTTAATATAAATAAACTGAATAACTGGGTTTTAGAGAGCAGAAATGCACCTCCTCCCAGCCCACAGTGTACTTTCAAGCTGAAAAGCTGGAAATATTTTGAAGCTGAATCTCTGAGGCCAAGAATCCCAAAAGAGAGAGATATAAAACAAGAACCACCTGCATACAAATCAGCACTGACTCACCTCAGGAATTAAGCAGGAACTCACTAATTGTGGACATCTCAGATAATCAATACAAATTAAGCACAGTCTCTCATAAGAAGTTGACCAAATCCATTTCCAGATTTTATAACATTTTATCGATTGAGTGAATATCATAACCGCGTTGCTCTTGTCACTAGCTTCATTATGTGTGGCAGTTAGAGAATCTTTAAAGAGCCTGTGCGTTCATATCGCCCAGAAAGGGCGTTCAATGTCGTGTCACGGAGCCAAGATAAAGATGGGGCCATCATGTGCAGGGGAAATAAATACAGTGCAATCTTCCTCTTTCTTTGGCAATAGCCTGGATATTACATTCCCCCCTCGGGGGATGGTACTGTCTTTGTTAAATAAATCTCTCTCTTCCAGGCGCATGGCAATTTGTTACACTCGCAACTGCGTCTCAGGCTTTACGGACTGGTCAGCTGGAAGCAGCGAACTACCGTAAATCTCCTCCCCCCAACAGAAAATGGACTTGTCCATTCCAAGGCTTACCAGTGGACTCCTGCTGGGTTAGAGAGGGCACTGCGATATAAGGGTCCCTCTTATCGGTGGGCAGGGGCGACTCCTTGGGCTCGACCATGCGGCCCTGTCCCAATGGCCCACTGGCGGGGGGCTGGGCAGTGCTGAGAAAGGTGGAGGAGGAGCGGCCTGCTGAAGCACAAAACAAGTTAATACGCTCTCATCTGCAGTTCACCGGTTGGTGCGGCTGGGCCGCCCACGGCTGTTAAAATGCCTCTCTTTTTGCGGACACCAGCTACACATGCCCTGCCACAGATCCCATTCAGAACTATCTATGCTGCTGCAGCAAACGAATTACACTACTGTTCAAAAGCTTGGAATAACTTGTCACTTTAATAATATGAAATCAGTTCTGTTGCAGATACATGTAAAAATGATTTTAACATAATGCTGATACTGTGCATATTCATAAGTTTCAAATCCTTCGTAGAAAGCCATTAAAATTAAGAAACTGTAATGTTTGCAGAATGTTGAACAGAGCAGATGATTCTATAATCATTCAGAAAGTGGTATATCATAAATAAAGTATGAAAATAAACATCCAGAATGCGTTGTATTTGAAAAGTGACCATATCCCAAGGTAGAAAACTAGACAAACAGTTCTATATATAGATTACAGTATATCATTGTTATCATTTAACAATTTCTTCTTGCCCCACTCCCCAGAAAAAAATATAAATACTAAATAAAGCACCTAAAATACCCTTTGGTATTAAGTTTGAAATACTGACTAAAGTACCTAAATACATGACCTAAAATACCTTGTGATGTCTTGTTTATAATATTTCAATCAACATAATTTATTGACTAAAATAACATAACCAGTGATTCCAAACTTTTGAACCACAGTGTATAAGCAATAGAGTCAGGTTTAGGTTTAGCCTTGGTCAAACATGCTGGAAGAAAAGGCTTCTTTAAATAAAGCCAAGACCAATTCACTACTGCTCCGGCTCCCAATGCATGAGCTAAATGACAGCCTGAGTTATGCCCATGTGTCGCTCCGGCATGGCTCCAGCCTGGCCTCATGAGGGCCATGACCTTGCTGTCTCCGACGGAGAGGGCAGCTGCCTTGGAGGGACCCATCATTGTGGCCACATTTTCCAATTCAGGGCCCTGATAGATCTACTCTCTCTGTGGGAGACACCTGGGGTGAGCTTACCTTATCATACAGGGCATGGAGACATGAATGGCATCACTCATATCTGTGGCCCTAGTTATTCTCCAAAGAATGCCTACATTCACATTCTGTCAGTTAGAATAAGCTTTTTTTCCCTGATGTGCTGACAATATACACAACAAATCACGATAGGCCATTAGATAGCGCAAGTCATTAATCTCTATGAATTGAATAAGAACTGTTTCATTTTTATCTCTTGCATGCTTAAAAACAAAATTATTTTGTGAAGGCATTAATAAAAGTAACACTCTAAGCAACAGACAAAAGGCAGGTGCTGATAAATTGTCCTTCTTTTCTTCTTCCAAAGACATACAGACATCCGTTTTTTAAATTTCTTCACAGATTATACAGGTAGATCAACTGTTACTTAAGATACAATCCTGTAAATCAAAGCGGCTTCCTTCAAAACAGTCACTTCATCACAAACAGCATCCCAACAACTGTAATCACCTTGTATCTTAATTAAGCGATAAACTCCCCGTCCCATGCGTGCATGGAGAGTTGCAAAGCTGCTGCTGTTTGCCATCGGTCTATCATGCACAACAGCCTCACGGTCTCCCAGTAGCAATCATTAAAATGATTTATTTAAGAAAGCGCTGGAGGCTGAGCGATTAGTGTGACAGAGTTATTTTATAATTCATTCTCCACGGCCAGGGGAAGTGCCACGGAGGCAGATGACACACATACAGGAGTAAAGGCTAGGGCTCCTTGGAAAAAGTAAATAATCTCTGAAATGCCAAATTGCACATTCTTTTTACTAGTTAAACAGAATAAGAACTAGGCATTTTCAAGCAATAATCAACGCTGGTGATTTTGTATGTGTGAAAATGAGCCAACAACAGAGGGGACAACATGTGATACATTAATATCCGATATTTACGATCGCATTTTCTCCATGCCATCTCCATGTAGCATATCAGCTTGTTAGAGGAAATCTCCTTTTTATTTTTTTTCTTTTAACAAACCACCAGACCAGTTGAATTTTCTCATATTTATAAATATCTACCATTAATTTAAAAAAAAACAATTCTTTTCACCATCAAGAAAGACATGCAGAATCTGTTCGGTCAGACAGAGAACTAATTGCACCAAATTATGTTTTGCTGTCATGCGGCAACTGTAATGTTAACACTGTCCACAATAGCTAACATGATGGCGAGTAACTTCTTTCTAGAATTCCAAGCATTTCTTTGTAGCCTTTAATTGGCTGCATTATTAAAATATAGTTCTACTGTCTGTGGCACTGCTGACAATTAAAGAAGATTTGGATTACGAAGATGATTATGAACAAAAAAAAGCACAAATTATAAAGTTTAGAGTCGAGTGGAAGGAACACTTTGTGTTGCTGGACTATGAATTTCAGAAGATGTGATGTTCGGTTGAGCATGTTGTCAGTTTCCACAACAGGCAGACCCCGCAAGTTCATTACTGGGAGTAACTTGTTTAGAAAACACAGTATTCAAAAGCACGGATGCAGCTTTCAGCATGGGCACTGTTACAGCACAATGATCTTCTGCGATCCCAGTAACAAACTCACAGGGCCATTTGATCAAAGCTTGATGAAGATGGAGGTAGGTCAACGGGACTGAGTGAAAAAAATCAATCTGGCAGAACACATGGTGAAAAACAAGGATTCCTTCATGTCATTCCCTTGTTTGACTGGCATAATGAAAAAATGGGAACGGACATGGGGGGCTCATTACAAAAAGAAACACCTGACTTTTTTGACCTGAAATATTCTCATTAATAATGAATTAAATGTATATATATAAAATTCGATGGCTTTGTGGCCCAAGTCACCAGTGCCAAATTTTTTTATCTGTCTACCACTACACTCTTTAAGACCATTTGTCTATATGTGACCACGTTTAGTGCCATTTGATGTCAGTGATGAGCAGAGAAGAGCAACAGCAAAGAAACGCAGAGAGAAAGCAAAGATGAGGATCAGAACTTCTATTTTTGTCATACATGTGAATGATAATCAGATCTTTTCCTAAATAGAATGATTACTAATGTGATATGTAGGTCGCAGAGGCAGGCATTCTCACCACCTCCCACCAATCAGAACTGTTTAGCATTCCCTTCTGTACCAGTATCAATCATACGGCACTGAAAAGTGTGTGTGCTTTTGTGTGTTTGTGCACATTTGAGTGAGTTTAGTGAGGGCATGTCAGCATGTGCATGTATTAATATGGGTGCATGGGAGTTTGTGTGTGTGTATGTGTGTGTCTGTGCATGGTCGATGCGCCCCACTTTTGCCAGATTGTATTTCATGAATAATTTCTAGAGGAGCTTTGGAGAACAAGCTGCTGTTTAGCCTCTGTAAACAGCTTCCATCATTTGCATTTGGCTACGTCTCTAACCCACAAAGCCGCCTTCTATTAACCAGCTAGATCCATCCAATTAGGAAATCAAAGGTCAGGGCGAATCAATGGGACCAGTGAAGGCTTGCAGAGAATAGAGACGGGGGAGAGTTATGAGAAGAGGGGTGGGACCGTCTCTCAAATCTACTCAAATGGGAGGGGGCTTAAGCGAGCTCAGCTGCTACAGACTAGCACTAGACAGGGAAGAGTTCAAATAAAATGTGTAAAACTGACCGCGTGATGAATTTTGAGAAATTTCATGACCCTGATGAGGAGGCTGAAGGTCTAAAAATGAATAAATAAAGGCATCAAAGGAATTAAACCATAAGGAATTCTTTGGCTAACATGAAGAGTTGAGTAAAACCGAAAGGAAAGACTTTGAAATTAAAGAGTAAACTGAGAGAAACTGATAGAATGCTTGAAAAAGAGGATGAAATGTGCCTTTATGTGACTGCCTGTGACTTATGTCACTTACCATTTAAAGCCACAAAGGAGTCTGAAAAAGCAAAAGAAGAAACGTGTTAATGTATGAAAATGAGATTCATTCTTTATTTCATATCCATTTCATTATAAAATATGCATGCTCTAATATGTTAACACTGGTTTCTAATATTAAAAAGGGAAGGTATTTATAATTAATAAGAACATCTCTTTACAGCAATCAAACCTTTCATTACACTATACAGGAGCTAATCACAACTTAAAGGGTAATTAGTTTTCAGCTTTTCACTATTCAAACAGTTAAAATAATAAAATAAATAAATGCAGACAATTCAAAACAGGTCTCTATAGGGCTTAGTGTGGCCTACTGAATAGGTCACACTGAAACCCTTAGTGAGTATGCATGTGTGTGGTTCTAAAGCGAGGCCTGGCCTCTGTGTCCAGTGTGTTGCTGCAGCTGAAGGACAGGCTTGCGAGGCTGAGCCCAGATAAACAGGAGGGAGACAAGGAGAACAGAGAAAGAGTGAGAGTAGGAGAGAGAAGAGGCCTTTGCTTACTTTGGCAGTCTCCCAGTCCATCTGTGTTGCCCTGCTCCACGTCCTGCTCGAATGACCATCTGCATAATCAACAGAGACAAGACACACGGTGGTGAGCGGCTGCGGTCCTGCTGGCTCGAAAAGGCCTGCGTGAGGATGAGCACGGCTAAGCCCTAGGTGCACGACCTCCATTTTGCACTGGGACTCAATGACTTCTAGCCCAGGTGGCTCTGGGACATTATGGGTACATACCAAAGTTTGTAAAAAACATTCAAATAAACGCATGATACTCATGTCACAGTCAAGTATTTCTATTTACCCCCTTATTCTTAAGGGTTATTATCCAGTAACTACTATGAAGTCAGTAACCACTATGAAATCATATGTAAGTTATGTTGTTATGAGTGTTGTTACGAGCAACTGAAATGTGGGTCCAAAAAGGGGCCCTTATGGTTGAAAGAATTCAAACATACACAATTTTGCCCCTACCACAAAGGTACTCAAACAGAAAAAAAGTTTTGGTGTCTGAAGATTGCTTATTTAGTTGCTTCTTTAGTTTCAGAGCTTCTTTAATTTCCAGGCAAAGTACAAGTTAAGCACAAGTTATTCATTTTTCAGGCAATGTTTCTAAGGAAATACGATATAAGACAATCTACGTTTTTACCATAAAAAATTGGGGTTTGAACTTACTAACAAAAGTTAGTATCTAGTTATTTGAACTTCAAATAATAAGTTAAAATAACACCCAGACCTGTACTGTTAACTTACTATTCAAAACTCAATTGACTCAAAATGTTAAGGCTGGCCGAACACTAACACGACTTTTTTTTACAGTGAATAGGGAAAGTAACAGTGAAAGGAAAATACGTGAAAAAAATTATTAAACGATACAGGGAAAAAGAGGCTTGGTATTACTTGGATCATGAGAAGCAGAAAATGCAACCAACTTCTAAGACAAAAAATTTTGAGATGTGACAAAACATTCCTATGAAACTAATAAGTTGAATGTCTTATCTGGACTTTCTGACAGGTCCTTTGAGTTTAAAGGGGTTAAGCAATCAGCAGATGCTAAACTGTAATACAAGGTTTCTTTTGTTCTTTTCCAAAGGTACCAACAAGAATAATCCTCCTCTAGAAGTATTAATGCAATCATAAGTAAAGGGGACATAGACAAGGCGCTGAGGAATTGAGCGCACTGTTATCATACAGGCTTCTATTGTCTTGTGTCAGGCTGAGCCTGCTATTCCTGACAGACGTTCAGCCATGCAATCAGAGGAGACAGCCTAACCGTCAAAGAGATTACATTCCGGGTTGTCACAGTTGTCAGAGCCACATCTTGTAGCTCCCAGCAGGGCCATGTGTAGAGAAAAAAGTTTCCAAACTATCACTAAAAGAAATGACAACCCATTTTCTGAAGTGCGGCAAAAGTATAGAGTTTTCATTTGCAGGGGTGATCTGTTCACCTAAACACTGTATTCTGTGAATCGAGACACAGTACATCAATGATATATAATGTTTGGATGTCAAATTGACTCAACATCTCCAAGTACATCCAACTTTATACAATAGAGTGCAGTGTACAGAGAATAGACTCTTTCTAAAATACTGCAGTTTTTAGTTAGAAGACAGAAGGTTTACCTCTTGCACTCAATTACACACAATAGAGCACAAAGAAGCACATGTCGATCCCTCTTTTTCAAGCTGTAGTAACAAAGTACGAAAGTGTGAACTTTCAGCTCTTTTCTCTGGGGCCTGTTTTGTACTGGCGCTTTTCATTAAACGCTGCACAAAGTGTCGAGCCAAATGCCTCTCAATCGCTCACCACAAAACCCAACAGATCATAACCGCGTAATCCTCCACTCAGTCCCTTTAGAAACACTGTGCAGCAGGAGTGAGGTCATCTAACCTCTTAATGCCTCTGTCTACTCAATTTCCAAAGTGGAAAGCTCAATCAGAGCAGTCAAGGCTTTGGAAATAATAACAGCATAGAAAAAAAAACAGCATGCAATGACCGATTGCTTTGCGGAGATCAAATTCACTTAACATCAAAAAGTCTCCTGCTCCCGTAATAATGACTTCATCTGCAAAATGCATGATTTCTGCCCCCAGAAATGCCATATGATGTTTGTTCAGCAAGCAAACCGCCACAGCATGGTAAATACAGCTATAAATTATGGTGTCCCCCTCCCCCTAAAGGGTCAATATATCTCTCCTGTTCCGTAAGCTTTTCCCTCAGCCTCATCCATGAGAAGCAAGCAAGAGGAAGAATAAACCCAAAGAAACCACAATTAGATGAAGCTGCAGGAGAGCATGTGTGGAAAGGACTGAAAACCAGTGGGTGGACTTAGGTCATCATGCTGCAAGCCAGCAGTGGCTGCAGCAGCTGGTGAATGGGGAGGATCAACATACTTTGTGCTGGAGACGACTTCTCTGCAGGCTCCCTCCAATACCCAGCCGCAGTACGGGTCCCTGGAGGCAATGCAGGACCTGCGCAAGGACAGACACACCTGGTCTATCAGAAAATCCCTCATATGGGCATATACTTTGAAACACCTCACTCTTACGTTTTGTTTATTTCTTATTTATAGCTCACTGAAAGAAAATTAAACTTTCATATCAGACATACGTCTTTGAAAGCTGAAGATGAGATTTTTTATTATGATTTGAATTTGATTTTTTTGAGTCTTAATTTTGTGAAAAGAAAACACATCCTTTATATTTTTGACATTTTTTGACATCAAAATAAATGGAAAAATAATATAATAATATATAATTCAAATAATTCATAAAATAATATAAAAGAAAAATAATTCATAATATAGCTAATTATGTCATTACTTAATGTAATTAATTAATGTACTGTGAATCAAATCCTTAGAAAAAAAAGATTAATTCTTGACTTCTAAGGGTTAACCAGGATTACTGATCTCACTGATATCTTCCCCAGTATCTACTGATAGAGTACAGGTCTGACATCTCTTCTCATGAATAAGGGAAGCTGCTGTTAACCTTAGTGAGTAAGTTGATATGCAGGCTTCAAAACTCACTTTTTGCACTTCCCATGTCGCTCACACCGTGACAGTGGAACCTTGACCACACAGGATGTGAATGCCACAAAGAGAGATTGGCTCTTGCTGTCGATTTGCATGCTGATAATGCGCTTATCGTCTATGCCGTCGATGCTGCACCTGAAGGAACAAAAACAGAATTCAATTCAATGCAATGCTTTCTTATATATTTAGTTCTCATCTGTTGCCTCAATATTAGTGTCAAAAGCAGGGTTTTCATTCAAACTTTTCCAAGTTTTAAATGAATTACAGTAAAAGAAAGAATCAGTAAAAGAAAATGTGCAAGTGTCAGATACATCACATGAATTTCACATGTGAATAAAACAATGTTATCATATGAAAAATGTTATCACATGTGAAATGTTCATATGTGAAAAAATGTGTGAAAATGTGTGAAAAAACTTGTGATTACTTGTAAAAACATGGTTTTTGCACACTTCACATATGTAATATATGTGACCTTTCTGTAATGGCTCAAATGTGTAAATTCCCAAAGACAACATCTCACACTTGAGGAGAGTCTCGCTTGCTGTACATGGAGGGATCTGAATCTTTATTAGCTCTCAGTAGAGCAGTTTTGACAGTTCTATGTCAACTGTACATAGCTGTAGCCTTAATAGTTCAGAGGCACCTAGGGTAGCAGGTAGTGGCCTGCTTGATGAGGGCTGAAGTCACTGTCCCACGTGGCCATCACTCAACGAAAATCTTGGGGCTGTCAGTCCAGACAGCACTGATGGCAGTGCCTCAATTAGCAAATTACCAAATTAAAATGTTGAAAATAATGGCACTATTGGTCATGTAAAAAATTTGGCATAATGTTTAGTAACATATATGCATTTTGAGACACTGACGCTGTGTTTGTTATCGTCAGACAGAGCAGAAACAGAGAATTTCATTTCCGCTGTCATCAACATTTTCGCCTATTACCTTTATAAAAAATGTGGTAACACTTTCTATGAGAGCATAAAGTAAAGACAAACACCAAGCTAACGGTGGTGTACATTGACTTTCCCACATTGGGTAAAACACTGATGGCAGCAGTAGTTTCTCTGACATTTGAAGCCTGTAATGTGCTTTATTATGTGTGTTTTAGTGTTTCAGTAAATTCTTCAGTAAATACTGCAACTTGAAGCCTCACTCAACACTGGAGGTGACTTTAGTACAGTATGCTTCACTTTACTTAGAGCGGATAAATACAACTTATGAGCTATTATAATTTGTTATGATCAGTACTCATAATGTATTATGTTAACAATTCATAATGCATAATAAACATGGCTATAACATATAATGCATTTTTATAAATATTTATAGCTATGTTTATAATGTCTTATGAATGCATTATAACATGTTATGGATGTGTTTATAGATGCTTACAAAGGTGACATTCATAGAAAGTGTTACCAAAAATGTTTCCACCTCAGCCAAGTATAAAATGGTTTTATTGGCAATATTTTAAATTTTTTTTGGCTTTTCCATCCAGATTTTTTTGTGTGCATTTTCAAAACTCACATAAAAAAGGTCAATGGAAAACCCCAGATGAAACAAAATGAAAGAAATAGCTCCGCTAAACATGTTCCCCTTAGTTTTGCACTAGAGTTAATATAGTTAATAATCGAAATTTATTTGAAGCTTATAAACCAACAATTATCATCAAACTGAATGCCTAAATCATCACATGCATGTTTAGTTATCTCAAACAGATTTGCCTATTTGATTTATGACCGATGTATATGACATGCTGTTGTCTATAAAAATAGAGAAACATCCTTTGCATATTATATAGTAGTATCTTGAAGCCTGAATTTTGTCCATATTTTTATCCATCTTTATGTAACATCCTTTCACTCTTTGTCCTGGTCTTTCTCTGTTTTTGCCTTTTTCTTGGTTTCCCAGTGCTGTGTGTTTTTGTATGTCTGCCATGTGCCTTTGTTTTCTTGTGACATGTGCTTCTGTTGTCATGTTAGCTCCTCCCCTGTCCTGCCCTGTCTTCACCTGTTCTTTGTCTCCTAGCCCCACCCTCTCATTGGTCTCAGGTGTTTCTCGTTTTCTGTTAGTATTAATACCTCTGTGTTTGCATAGTCCCTTTGTCTTGCATTGTCTCTATACCCTGTTGCTGTTTCTGGTTTAGTTTAATTCAGTTCAGTTCTGTTTTACTTTGTTTTGTCTTGTCATGGATTTATCTGTTCCACTAACTTCTGCCACTGTATTTTTGGACTCTGTTGAATCTCGTTTAAATAAAAGCAACTCACACTTGCATCCTGCCTTAATGACTCCAACGTTACACTTTATACCTAACAGCATTTCATACAGTAGTCTCATTAAACTCATATTTGATCTTTTGCCACACTACTCTTAAGTTTGTCTGTCAAAATAGCATGGTTCATTTCAATGTATAAACATTCTGAAATGTTTATGTATTAGGTAGCAGTTAACTGAGCAGTCTTTTTGCTTGATGCCCCTAAAGAGTATCTCTGTGTGGTTCCCTGAAAGGGCAAAGAGCTTCACTCTAATCCTGTGCTTTACAGATCTAAAGGGGGGATTTAATTCCAACTTCATGAAGGTTGGCCCCCATGCATTAGAGCTCTCAATTAAGGCTTACGGTCCATCTACCCTATGCAATGTGCGGTGGGCATCTTTTTTCTGATCCTTCCCTGTAAAGTCACTTACGCTAACCGCTAAAGCTAAGCCATATGGCCTGCAGCCAGAGAATGCTCTGCCCGTGCCACGCTGTGTGTGGGGGGCAGGTTTGCTTGCTCTCCTACTCCACACTTTGTCACATGACACAGCTCAGTGGCTAACAACGGCAGTCTCCTTAAAAGCCCTCGTCCAACAGCAACTAACTGTGTCCAACTGCAGCTTTCATCCGCATATTTGCTTTGGCAGCCGTTTCTCTGTTTATGCCACAGCAGCCTGGTCCAAACCTCCTCATTGCATCTTAGAAAGAGAGGGGATCTCAGCTGGGTTTTGAGACGCTCATCCGATCCCCTCCTCAAACCGCTCTGCATTCTTTAATCATTCACCATTCGTTAGGCCTGGCCTTGTGGCGGCGGCCTAGCGGCAGAAGTTCCACTACGTTCTCTTTAATTTGTTCACCACACTCGAGGGGCTGTAACCTGATAAAACTCTTTTAAATGATAGAGTAGAGTTCTTCAGCAGGGCTGGGGCGCTGTAGCGTGGTCGAGATTGTGGGGTGGGGGTGTAATGGAATACACACTTCTCAGGGTTGTAGATGCTCAGCTCCTCCAGGAAGAGGCTGTCATTGAGGAAGCCGCTGCTCATTTTCGCCAGAAACTTGAGGATGATGCCCCTGTCCGAGCCCAGGAAAACGACAGTGTGGTTGCGATAAGGCCCGGCGGCGTTATCCACCGCTATACGCGTGAGCCGATATCTGCAGAAACGAAAGGGAGAGCGATGGAAAAAGAGAGGGAGAGAGGAAGAAGGGAGAGAAAGAGAGAGAAAAGCGTGAGGCAGCAGAGACATAATAAAATCTCCCTGCAATTCCCAGACTTAAAAACGTTCAGCTCTGCTCTCGCTAAAGAAATTAGACCGTTATCTGGTGCCTGCCGCTCCAATTACCATGCTTATCTTGGTGTTAATCAAATGTATGTATAATTTTCAAATCAGTATGCAAATACACTTTCAAGGTAATTAAAACTGGCGGGATGAAAATGGTAAGACAAATAAATTATCCAGGAATTTTCTTTCATCTTTGCAAATCTCTTGAGTCTTACTGTGCCGTCTACCATATTAAAACATAGGAAGGGAGAAGATGAGAGACACATATTACAGGAACGTGTGCTCAGTAATTCAGCATTACTTAGGCAAATTTACACAGACCTCAATGAACAGTGTTAGTGTAAAAGATATCAGGGACTTGATATGCCGGGTGGTCCTCTCCTGTTATATCACCATTTCCGTCTGTAAACAACTTTGATTCTTCTTTTTAAAACAAGGCCAAGTTTCGCCTGCCTGACCTGAGAGAGTCATATCCCTCTATACAGTGTCTGCCTGACAGGAACATCCTCTTGCACTGTTGGAAAATGGACCCCATTGTTCTAATTTGTTAGAAAAAGAAACACTTGAATTGAAACATCTTCCCTTCAGGGTAGAGCTGAGATAAAGGCTTACTCCAGATTCAGTTTCCAGCTCACTTCCTGCAGCTAAAGAATAGTCAGCTCAGTTATTGGTGAAACAGATACCCCAATCCCCTGCCCCAGATAATAAATGAATCTATTTGAGGGGCGATTAGTGCCTGAATTTGACTTGGCCAGCATTTGGCATTGCAAATGGCTGGATCCATTGCCAAAATGAGCGCCGATTACCATGCTGAATAGAAACCATTAATCCACACATATCATTGGAGATGAATCATTATGGAATACATCTTTCAGCATAAAACGACAGTAGGCTTGAAAGTACCATGAATCGCCAATAAATTCCAACATGTCCATGGTTTTTAAGACACACTAAAGTAATCATGTTTGTCTCTTAATCTTTTCTTTTAGCATATTTTCTTTTAATGTGTAATCCATGTTTATATCTGTCTAAAAATGTTGTGGCCTGTCACAATTATTACATAATCGCCTAATCACAATTATTTGAGATGATGGCAATTATTTAAGCTGTCTGAAATCATTTTCCACAGTCATATTTTGTTTGCCACAAAAAAAAAACAAAAACTGAATTGCGAGTGCTGGGTTAAGGCAAATAAATGGCAATAAGAGACAGCAGTAAATGCGTTCATTTACACTTTATGATGTTTTTAAAAAACTTCTAACTTGATGCTCTAGCATGTTTAGATGGCCACACTGAGTTGTAGCTAATTCTAACATTTTTTGCATGTATACTGGCAAAATTAGTGTTTTTTTCTTAAATCTACATGTAATTCTGTGTAACTGTAGACATTGTTTGTGTGAGTGTACAGGCATATTGATTCAAGAGTACAACCAGTGTTAGCTACTAAATATTTTTTACTTTCACTATAGTTGTACTTGTTAAACATATAAAGCCATGCAAAGCCTTCTTTCATGAAATATGGTCTTAAATTATTTTGACATTGTGGTTAAATCAAAGTTAATAAAAATAAAAAAATATTATTATTATTAATAGCCTAAAGGGTAAGAGGCTAAAATTACTGTAAAGGAAACCTACATTAAGAGTAGCCTACAGGCTATAGTCCTTACAGTAAGCGTGCAAATGTGCAATTTATGAAACCTACAGCCAAAACTTCCAAACCATGCCCAGAACAAAGGCAGTTTACAGCACAAACTCAAGCATGCTTATTTTCTCTGATTTAAGCGGGTTACCTGCTGTACTGAAAAGTGTTATTGGAAAAAGGGGCCGCAGAAAAGAAGTTGTCTCTCTTGGTCAGTATTTGTGGCTCTTTTTTTAAGAAAATGGGCTCACATGGTGTGCTGTTGGTGCAGGAAAGCAGCACAGCTAAGCAGCTCTCATTTGCCTTCCACTCCCCCACCTACAACACGGTACTATTGACAATCGCTGATGGCTACAGGGCACGATCAGATGATAAAATATTGAACACAATCTCACAAACGCATAAGACAGTCTCCTTCTCTTGCTTGTAAGAACATGAAGGTTCTGACTGAGCTTCTAAAAAAAATATTCATGTCACAAAGTGACCATTGGGCTTCATTAGTGGCTAAAAGCTGATCAGATGTGAATGCTCACCGAACCATTGTCTTGAGAAACCAAGGGCGGTTGGCGATGGAGGGCACTGCCTCGTCCATCAGAGGGTGCATCTTGATGAAGTTCAGTGTGTCATCAGGGAATTCATTGGACACTTTGTACTTCTCCACTGACGGTGACCCAGCACAGCAGCCTGGCCTAAAGGGCACAGAAGGACATGAAAAGAGAGATAGAGTTTAAAACTGGCGGGATGAAAGTGGTAAGACAAATAAATTAACCAGGATTTTTTTTCATTCATCTTTGCAAACCTCCTGAATCTTAAAGCAGTGTCTACAATATTAAAAGAGAAAGGAGGAGATGAGAGATGTAACACAGAAATGTGTGTTCAGTAATTCAGCATTACTTAAACAAATTTACACAGACCTCACTGAACAGTGTTAGTATAAAAGATATCAGGGAGAGCGAAAAGATCACTTGGTGCTCAACATAAAAGCATTACAACAGGAAACACAGATTTGTTCTAGTCAAATCATAGCATTCCAGAGAGGGAGCTAAAAGGAAAACAGGATCCTCAAGCAAAGGTTTAGATTTAATAAAAGGGTTCTGTCAGGTTCATTTTATCAAAGTTCATACTATTTGGCTTCCATTCACATTGTACTGCCTTACTAAGCGCTGACTAAGAGTTTTAAATACACAAGCAACACATGGTGCCTTTTCCGCACGATGAAAAAAAGCACGGTTCAGCAACAGAGTAAACCTTCTCATCTGTTAGTACACTCACACCATGTAGAGAGAAAATAAAAATTACATAAAAACAGAGCTAGTGCCTTCGTTCTCATTAACACCTGACCTTGTTTCTCGCAAACACATAATTTTATGCTAATCAGCGCCGCCAATACCCTTGTTGCGCACGACATAACGACAAACCATATGGAGGGCTAGAAACGGCCTGGAATCGTCTTCCCTGGATCTTTGCTCTTAAAAGGCTTTTTCAGGGGGAATGCAGCTAGCTCCTTGGTGTGATAATTAGGGGTACGGGGGACAAAGATTGACCAGGCTGGCTGGTGCTTTTGGAAAATTAGTCAGCCATCTGGAAAATGAGCTCATGCCTCATTTGCTGATATGCACTTTCTCTTTCTCTCTCTCTCTCTCTCTCTCTCTCTCTCTCATGGCAAGGTAACATGTTATTCAAAGAGCACTACCCAAGGTGGCCATGATTCATTCATAAGGTATACATAATGCCTTCCTAAGCCATTTGCAAATATTCATAAGTGTGGTCAGCGTCATGTCACAGAATCCTAAACACCAGTGCTAATTATATCTGTGAAAGTCCACAGTGCCATTGTTGTTCTGAGGGTATTTCTGTGGCTGCAGAAAGCAATGCCCTGCCCCTATGCTGGCCTCTACGACACTGTCTAACCTGTAGAAGTTGCAGTTATCGCTAGTGAAAACAAAACAAACACTGTAATTTAACATTAACAGATATGTGTCCAGTCTTACTTTGCAGAAAAGTAACCGTCCTTTATATTTTTGTCAATTTCTCCTAATTTTTTGACATTGAAACAAACAGAAAACAGTCTGTGCAGATTTAAACCTGTCTATACAGTATGTAAATCAAATGTAAATGTGACTTCATAATACAACTCATTTACATTTAAATAATTTAGCAAAATGACAATAATGACTCTCAGGGTTAAATATCTTTGCTAGGTGGTTCTGAAAGATGTGCAGGAGATAAAGGCACTGGTGGATACCTTGGCTTAGGCACCTTGTCCTCAGGCACAGGGGTCCAGGTGGAATCAGGGGACTTCTGTTCTTTGAAGCGGCCTGTGAAGGCTGTAGCAATGTCTGCCATGTCGTAGGCGCAGACGGCTGAGCCTGGAATACTACAACAGAGCCAAGAGACGTACAGTAATTCACCCGCAGTTACCCACCACTGTGTACATAACAAAACTCTGAATCACTCATTCTCTTTAGTCTCCTCTTTTACCAGCCAGTCTAACAGGAATAAAGCAGGAAAAGAGCATACAAGGACATAATTGTGAAAGCTACAGAGATGGGACTCTGTTAACCTCAATGACCAAAACTGTAAATCTCAGTAATAAGCCAGAAATACTTGGCCTGCGAGGCAGAACTGGCATGTTGTCAGAGCACTTGGTCAGAACCAATGACTAATATGTCCCCATTGTACAACTGGAACTTCTAGTCAATAGAAGTTCATTCTCTATGCTTTGAATAACTTTGAATATGGCCCTTACTGAAACCCTCATTGAAATTTCTTAGTTGCTTGGCTGATTTTAATGCCCATTAAGCAGGCTCAATTGCACTGTCACAAGCAATTGGTTTATCCCTTTAAACCTCTATAACATGGGAATTGTAAAATACGGCAAGCTCTACGCCGGCTCTGCGATTCTAATTTAGATAAAGAAATTAGCTGCCGAGCCTATTCTCTATTCATTATTGATAAATCAAAAACTATCCCTCTAAATACGCCACTCTGTATTACGAGGCCAGGGACTCGCCAGGTTTGGTAACAAGAATGAACATACCTGTTGAATGGCGTGGAGAAGGTTGCCATGACAACATCTCGTCCATTAATGTGGATGACGTCAGTGACGGCCTGCAGGATGTTGAAGTAGAAGTGCGAGTCTCCAGGGATGGAGCAATTGAGCCGGGCCTTTAGGAAAGATGTCCACTGCTTCTCCAGCACGCGCTGCGAGCCACCACGATCATTCTTACATACTCGTGCCACTCGTGGGAACACCACCTGGCAAAGGGACGGATGCAGATACTGAACAACCTATTGTTTTAGAGATCTGACACTCTCAAAACTCCAAAAATGGTACGTAGTACACAGCTAATACACACTACTGCGCAAAAGTCAAAGACCACCCTTCATTTATGTAATTTCCAGTCAAAACTGCCATTATGTACAAGTTATTATTTTTTCATATTTCTGAGGAGGTCAGATACAAGATAATCCTCTTGCATTAGGAAGGGGAAAGTCAAAGGAAAATAAGTAAAAAACAAACAAACAAGCATTTACAAAACTCATAATATTACTAAATTAATTATTATTAAATTATTAATATAAATAATAAATAAATCTAGTAATTAATTGTTAAAAGAAATAGAGGAAATGGGACTCTCAACAACTGTTCACGACCTAGCAGACCTGTCACCATCAGATAAAGAGTACTTAAGGCTTTCATCTTTTTATACATAGGGGAAAATCAAGCTCCACTCTTGCTTCAGGTCCAAAAAAAAAGAGGTGTTTATGTCCACTGTGAGAATTCAAATTAACTCTTGAACGTGTATCAAGAATGTGTAGCTGTGAAGATATTGCTGAGTAAAGACGAAACCAAATTTGAAAAACACAAAAATTGCCAATCAAACAAAGAAGATGCAGGTGTTCTCAGAACAATGAACTGACCACTCTAGAGCCCAGACTTAAACACTGGATGTGTTTGAGATTACTTAAAAGTAAAAAGTGCAACCAACCTCTAAGACTGAACTTTTGAGTTGTGGTTCGTTTTGAATGGAAATTAAACAAATGAAGGATGATCTCTTTTGCATAGTACTGTAATTTTCACAGATGTTAAAGGTAAATCTCTGATCTCACAATGATTCAGTGAGATTCAAGTATGACTGTTAAAGAAGTAATTCAATGCCTCATGAAATCTGAAATTTGCATCATGATTTGATTCATAATTTTGGTATTTGATTCATAATATTGGTGTATTTCAAAATCAGTACAACTAAATCACCACCTTCAGGTTCATACATTACAATACATCAAAGCATTTTTACACCCCTATTTTAAATGTATTTTCCACTCATATTTATAATCTAATAACAATGCTACTAAACCTAAACACTTTATTCTAAACATACAGTACACTGTACATTACCATGAAATTATTTATACAGAGTTGACAATATTATTCCTTCATTTTGGACCTTTCAGAGATCTTGAGCCCTTGAGCACACCACTTAAGACCCCTGCACTACTCCTGAGTAGCAAAGCTGTAATTACAGTAATCTTTCTAATGCATCCTACTGTAAGTGCTGAAAGCTGTTTTCACAGGAGGTGCTCCCACTACAATTAGACCCCAGCCAAAGAGCAGTTTGCATGCAAACAGCACCTTGTGAAATTACAAAAACTCCAAACAAGATTCATTAAATGAATTTGCCATAATTATTTTTTGAGCCCAGTTCTCCATTTTCAATATTCAACAGGTACATGGGGGAGGGGGGATAGGGAAGTATTTTGGGAACTCAAACTGAGCATTCATACAATGTCTGTGGAGTTCTCCATGCTATTTTAGCCCCTTCATCCTGAGTGTGTTTTCCTATTTTGAACAAGGCCCGACCTTTCCTGAAAACCCTCTCAGATATTTGAGACACCCTCTTCCTGTTTGCTTCCAAAAGCACATCCTGTCTGTAATGGTATGGTAGGAAGTGCTGTACAGTAGCGTCTTTTTCAATCAAGAGGCACATCACGAACACTGTTCCCTCACCTTTCCCATGCTGTTGTATTCCATAGCGATTTCCCGAAAGAAAAAGTAAATGAAGTCACCATAATCCACTGCCTGGACAAAATAGGGCTCTGCAATAAAGAAAAGATAAACATACACATACATGCTGTGTTCAGTATTCTTTCTTAACTCTACCATCGCTTTGATTGTACGGTGACGAAGGGCAAGAATAAAAGACTAAACTTAGTATAAGATTAATCTATTGCTGAACTTCTCCATGAGCTAGTGCAAGGCTATGTTTCTCTCAGCAGGCCGGATAAGGAGAGGAAATGTTCCCTAACCAAGCCCAAACATAACTCCTAAAGATAAAATCTCTCTACGTAAAACGTATCATACTCCCTCTTTCTTTCTATTCTCCTTACCTTTTAGCCACTTTGAATCATGTTTGACTGTGCGTAGGGTTGGGCTGTCTCCTAGGCTGCGATAAATGACAGCGTCGATGGCCAGAAAGTCAGTGACCGTGGCAGAGTACAACTTTCCATCTGCAAAGAAGACAGAGAAATAATCATGGCATTACAAACACATACGCAAAGGTTCCACTCTCCGAGAACGACCACACAAGAACACACAGGGCTTAGAATCCTGAACCAAAACTAACCGTGCTGAAACATCACAGTGACAAGCAGCTTGTATTCACAAACATTTGTAAATGCACTCACAGACAGAAGTTCTAGCGAAAAGTGAACTAAAAACAACCGTAGCCACACATGAGGTTTGTAGTAAAAGAAAAGGTAATGAGTCACCGTCAAAATGTTTGCTCTGCTTTGGCAAAACAAAGAAATATATGATGGCAATACTGCAATTAGCATGACTGTGACTATCACTGGGAATGAATCACTTTTGCAGGCCTCAAATTGGAAGGCTTTCTGAAGCCACTAATGGTGAGATGACTCATCTGGGTTTTCCATCTTGGGAGTTATTTTTAATCCCCATATTTCGGGGATTTTTTTTTTCTAATACCACAATAGTTTCATGTGTTTCCAAACCGGCCACAGGCGAAGGCTGCCAAGCAACACGCTCTTCCCAGAAACAGAGAGAATCTGTCGCAGAATGAGTGTCTGCTAGCTTAGACTGCCTTGGAGTGCCTTGTATTCCTGGCATGCTTCTTTAAGACTTACAGTACTGGGCCATCTAAAGAATCCGCATTACTGTTTAAAAGCTGTGGCATGTCTGGCACTTATCACTGACAGCCAACAGTCTTAAAATAAAATGCTCCATGTGCAGCTAATATTCAATAATGGGGAAATTAGCAATTTTTATGAGTGATAGTATAAAAATAGTTGTTTTGATGGCTCACCAGCAAACAAGGCAACATTGGCATGCTTGGCATCATACGGGCATCGGGCCATTCCACTAATCTCCTCCCCAAGGGCATCCAGGGTGTCTGTCTAGGGATAGAGAAACAAAGGTCAAAGGTTATCTCCACCCAAAAGCAAGGGTGACCGTGCTTTTGCAGTTGCTGCTCCGAAGCCGAACAGCCTACCCTCAATATTAGAAATACCTCATCTGTTACTGTTTTCAAATCAAGACTTAAAACTTACTGTTACACTTGCATTTTGAAATTGTATTATTATTATTATAACATTTTATTTTATGATTTATTTTATTATTACATTTTCTTCTTCTTTTTATTGTTCTTATTAATTATCTTTCAGAAAATCTTTCTTTCAGATATTATTTATTTTCATATATTTCTTTCTATGTACAGCACTTTGGTCAACTTTTGTTGTTGTAAATGTGCTCTATAAATAAAAATTACTTACTTACTTTCTTACATAGCAACAAGCAAGCAGCACCTACACCTAAACAGCTTTACACCTAATCTACAGCCATAACGATCTGTTCACTGTCAATAGCCTTGATGCCATAAAAAATAAGGCAAATAATACTAGTCAGCTGTGAGGACAAAGGGTTTCTAAATTAACTAGCATCTTGAGACATCCATCCAAGCGTATTGTTGTATGGGGTGATTTTCACTTAAGGAGTTATTTTTAAAAGCTTTTTTTGCTCTTGACAAAGGCCGGAGCTTGCCAAGAAGTATAAGTGCTTACGCCACCCTTTTTGGCCTCTAAACAGGTCATTTTGTTTTCTATTTCTTTCTTGGCGGAAAGAGCTATCATCTAGCTGCTGAAAAAGGTCACGCTGAAGTCTCGCCACATGCAGAAGTTCTGCTGGAGGATATGAAATATCAGCAGCTGACACAGAGAGCCTAATTAACATTTCTTACAAAGGTGTTAAGCCAAAGATGAATAGGAATGCTGGAATTAGTAACACTGGCAATGTAACCATGTGGCACACTTCAAAACCCTTGCTTTCCCTGCACTAGAAGTTTATGGGTGATTCCGTAACCAAGGTGCCATTTAGCCTTTGTAAGCTTTTTTTTTAATTTCCAGCACTGAATCAAAGAAAACATACATTAAAGCATTCAAAAATGTGTTAATCCATCTCTGGAATAATATTTAATTTTTTTACAAAGTTTGTTTTTTGACAATGGCTTAAATGAGCAGCAAGGTTGCAAGCAACAGGGTTGAGGTTTTAGGCATAGAATTAGCAAATTCACACAAAGTGCTTAACTGGCACCCATGTTAATGGCATGAGGACATTTAGGATATTCTAATGATATATTTAAATATATTTTATGAATGAACAATTTACTTTTCATATATCAAAGTGACCAAGTGACCTTGTCAGTCAACATCACAATATCATTGAAAATAAAGAAAATAAGAATGAGAAATTTTATTTACATTATTCCTATGATCTTTCAAATTATGCAACTTTCTGTCAAACATGTGACCTGTAGGATATTCCACATATTTAATAGGGGTTAATGTGTTTAGGTATATATTATTATAATATATTGTTATAGTGGTCTGGCACAGACTCAAAATGCTGTAGGTAGGATTTATTCATTTTTTAAGTTATTTATCTGACACATACACAAACATTGTTGTGAAGGACACATTGCCAGTGCTTAAAATGTCTTTTATCTTTACTTTCCACACACACATACATACATGTATGTAAATGTAATGTCAGCGGGACATGAATGGCACTTCAATCGTGGAATCACTCTTATATATAGTTACATTTTGCTTTGACTATAGCTGTGTAGGTGAGGGCCTTCCATCTCTGTTGATGAGACTGTGGTGACAACCTTTGCTCTTGTTAGGAGTGCCTTTCAAGCTATTCTTGCCTTTTCAATGGGAAGTAGAAACTCTTAGACAGTGACCAGATATATGAGGTCAACGCTATATCAAACAGCAAGGGGGAATTATAAAAAGACCCTGTTGTTTCACTTTGCTATGCCAACATCCTGCAGATTTCTCTTGAAGGAGGACTTTGACTGATACCTTCATTAATTCCATCAAAAGGAGGAATTTCGTCGGTAATCCGAGCATAGCCTCATGCTGCCTGGTAGACGGTTCAGTAGATGAACGGTGGGAAGTGTATCATATTACACGCAAAGGCCTATCATTCATGTACAGAGTTATAGCTTCCGTAACGCATTAGGGAGGGCCCCCTTTGAAATGGTTATGGGAAGTTTTTTTATTTTGCAGTCAGTCATTATCCACATCACCTGCACCGCCCCAGCTCCGCCCGGCAACAGGTGATGTAACTGACACCAGCCGTATATCAGGCGACCAAGAGAAGCGTTAATACACAAAGCTGTGCTTGCCTGTTCTGAGCCTGGGCCGAGGCTGCCAAAGTGTCTGTCTGAGCGGTCCCAGGGTGCATGAGTGCCGGCGCCGAGCGGGCCGCAGATGGGCCCTCAGGAGGGGGAGGTGTGTGTATGTGTGTGTATTAAGCAGAGCCGCCGCTCAGTAGAACATTTGTACAGTGGACCCCCCTCCTCTGCTCTCTCTCTCAGAGGCTCTGATTAATGTGGGATGAGTTTGGCCCCAAAACAGAAGCCCTTTTCAGAGCCATCACACTGGGAGGATGGAAAGGCGGAACAGTGGCCAAGGTGGACACACATATGCGCAGTCCGAGTATGGCCGTCACACAAGTAGGCACGCCCAGGGGCTTGCAAGGGCCAAAGATCCGCAGGGGGAAAATCTGTGTGCAGCTTCTGCAGCTCCTGGCAAAAAAGGCTCTACTGCCTCTTTTCAACAAGACCGGGATTGTTTTTATTTATTTTTTATTTATTTAGGTTTTTTTTTTGCTGTGCCAGTTATTACACAGCCCTTTGGATGTCTATCGCTGTTGGAAGGAGCATCAAAAGTATTTGGAATCATTTAAATTACTAAGACACATTCAGATAAACAACAGTCTCTATGTGTACTTTCCCCAGTAAACACTATCAAAAGACTCTGCTTCATGCACGCCTGCGAATTCAGCTAGAATAAATGCGAAGGGAAAAGAAAGCAGGGTTCAAAGGGCAAGTCTTCCAGACACTAGGCAGTGAAAGGACTCCAAGCCTAAAAAAAAAGACATTCAGCACTCACAAAGAGGAAGGGAGGGTGGCGAGAACATCTCAATGACAACTACAAGCATGTCGACTAAAAATTCAGCATAGAAAAGACGTTTATTAGCGTCGTCGACTAATATGTGTTCCACAAAAAGGTGAAAAACACGCAGAGAGGAATGTAAGTGGGAACGTCTCTTTCGAAAAATGAACAGGGCCTCTTATGCTAAACTGGTGTGCCCTTCCACGTCATTCCAAACTTTTTTCCCCAAGACAGCACAAGCTCTCACACGCTATCGAACCTAGGACACTGCTCTGTATAAAATATGTCAAAACAAATGATGAACACATTCATGTCTGACCAATTGTAGCATTAACATTAGAGCGGCTAACGCAAACCATCCGTGCCCGGCTGGGCATCTCTGCTTTGAAACAACGGCACCGGCCCACACCTGCAAATCACTCATGCAGGGGTAATCCATCACTGTCCATGGCTCATGTTTTTTTTGCTACAGTATGTCACAGTCTCATTGAGCTGTTTGCATTCCAAATCTGCCACGTATTCTGGTGCTGTGGAAAGAGGTCATGGAGAATGGAGCAATACCTTGTAAGTTCGACAGGAAGGGTTGAAAGCATTTGTTCCGCATACAAACAGGGTGTCATCGTTTTGCTGGAGAAGAACCTTGATGAAATTGTGGCATTCATCCTACAGAAAGGAAAACAAGCGGAGAAAGATACTCAAGCCTATGTGTGCTTCACAAAAGCAGCTTAGCTTAGAGCAAGGCAGCATTTTTGAAAAATATTTATTTAGCACATTTGACTGTCATACATAGGATCTTTTCCTACTCCATTTTACAGGCTATTAAAAGAGTTAGTGTTTCTGTTTTAAAATAGCATCACAACTCTTGCTCCTTTATCGCCCTTTATTTCAATCCATCAGGTTAAAATCCATTACCAATTACGCCATTACAACTTCCAAAAATATAACAACAGAAACCTGATTCTATTGTATCACATTGCAAACCTACATTAGTCTGGACCTAAAAGCCTTTATTAGATTTCAGAACATTAAGTTATCTAAACATCCAAACAACAGAGTGTGTGTTATGACATGACATGATATGTACATGGAGATTGTCAGTGTACCTTATGCTTCCCTTTCATTCTACAAGTATCCACGTCAGCTTGCCTGGACTTCCATGTCAGTTTCTGTTGAGAAGAAATCGATGATGAATCAGCGCTGATCTGCTTAGGCTTTACACCAAGGATGTCTCAGACATACAACACATTATACTAGATTACGGCCGTCTCTTATTGGCCTAGAGGTCAAATGGAGCTGTCGTTCCAGAAGGCTATGTAAGCTGTAAACCACATTTACAAACCGCTAACTGATTAAACACTGACGCTAAATGGTATCCTTTTGTTAATCAATCTCACTCGCCCCCGAGTCCTGGATCAATCTCATTCTTTTATTATTCTAGAGCACAGCAGAGGAAAGCACAGGCTAAATGAGAGCAGTTACATGTACACATAAATCTCTGGCTTCCCATGTCCCTCTTTTTAGGAAAGATGACGCATGGCAATGACTCTTGATAGGATAATGTGCTTAGTGGGGTCACAGCGCTGGAGCGTCTTCTGCCAGAGTCCCGCTTGGGTTTCAGCGTCGCCAAGTAATTAAGGGGGAGTGGAGGATCGTATCCTGCAGGACAGCTCAACAGGGAGTGCTCACCTTGCTGAAAAAGATCTCTTCCGTATTGGCTGTTTCAATGTCAATGGTATATACATGATCCCTAGAAAAAAGACAGAAATAATTCATTGGTGATAATCCATGACACTTAGCTTTTAAAAATGTTTTTAATACAAAAGTGCTCTTTGTCAGTTTGCAACAAAGTACCCGTCTAACCAGATTCGTTTTAAGGATATCAATATCACAAATGTAAATATTTGACGAAATTTGTGACAGTACTACACTGAGAATAATGCCATACCCCACATAGCTCTTGTTGTAATGGCAGTACCCATCAGCAGGAAGGAAGACACTTAAAGAACATGAAGCATAATATCCCTAATTTACCCTATTTATATATAGAAAACAGCTGTTGTAACATCTTTGCATGTATTTTTCTTACTTACTAAAAAGTAACAGCATGAAAATTCAAATTTTACAGAAAATTTGTGTTCCAAACTTTTGACGGGCAATGTACTTTCAATTACAAAAGGAAGACAGCTTGTCCCTTCAGACAGACACATGCAGTAAAGGTTCCAATGTGCTCCAGGACCCACAAAGCTGCCTTTGTTCCAAGGAAGGTTGGTCACTGGGGGAGTGCCAAGTCATTCTGTGCTGTTCAGGTCAATTAAGTTCGGTGCTCAACCACAGGAAATATATACCAACACTCATTAAAACACAAGACAGGGGTTATGTGTTTCAACTGGTTATACTGCCATCTCTACCAGCATATGGTGCGCTTAAACTCGGGAGTTAAATGACCCTTGCCAAAGTTCCACTCTCTGTATACATAACAATATTTGGAGGATATCACATTCGTTTCAGACGGAGGACATGGTGGAACCGCGCCCAGTCTTGTAAATTGTTTAATGTGTTTGAGATTACTTGCAAATGTGTTTTTAATCAGGGCCGACATCTTCAGAGTTCAGTTTAATTATATCTAACAACCTGCACAGTGGCTTGCGTTCTCATTACCCAAATTTAATAAAGTCTGGACGAGAAGCCATTTCTGAAATGAATCCACTTACACAAGTTTCCTGGGGCTTGGCAATCTCCAGTTGGATAAAACTCTTCCGAATTATGTTATCCAAAGTCTCAGTCACAGCACGTAATTAATCACGTGTCCAATTTCAAACAGTTCACAGTTTCTACTGAATGGCATAGATGTCTACACTGAAAAAAGGTGGATGTTCTCAGTCCTAGCTGCCTTGGTCAAGTGGCAAGTCCTGCCTGATTTTGAGCCAACAAATTATCATGTTATAAACACTTTCATTACATGGTGCTCAAAATAATTTGAACTGGTTGAGCAGATATGGCCATGGTGGTCAGTGATTTCTCAGTGGCTCCTAATATTCATTCCTCCTCTATGCACCAAAGGCTGGGTAAATATATTTAAAGCTAATGAAGTGTAATTTTTCCTATACTGGTGACAAACAGCCACAAATTTTCTTAGCTTCATGTTAGTTGTTGGTTTCTTAGGTATGCAGCTGGACTTCACGTCTTGGCTAACAAAGTAGTGGTCAAGATCAATGACGCACCACTTCTAGATTACAGAAAGCTAAACCCCATGTGACCCTATATCGTATTTCTTCAGAGCAATTGAGCTCCGCTCCTAATGAATTTCAATTAGCGCAGGTAAGGTGTCGTTTCAGCCGACTCTCTCCCAGCTCTTTAATGAAATTTCATTCTACCGAATAATTACGATCGCGAAGGACGTGCTCTGACATCACAAACTGAGTGAGCCTCATGACATCAGATCATAAAGTTCAACATGAAAATCTACTCAATATACTATGTAATGAACCTTTGAAATGACTGGGCAAATTTAAGTAAGTATGTGGACAGCAAAACCTTTTGTTTTTAATACAATATTTAAAACAAGCCCTGCGATGGACTGGCGACCTGTCCAGGGTGTATCCTGCCTTCCGCCCAATGGCAGCTGGGATAGGCTCCAGCACCCCACCGCGACCCAGAAGGATAAGCGGTTTAGATGATGTATGTATGTATGTATGTATGTATTTAAAACAAAATTTGTACACAATACAATGAGCATGCTTTCTTTATTGTGTTGCCCAACACAACCTAACATTTCAAAGATTAACCAGGTTTCTTTAAGGACAACAATATCACATATTTATGACAGTACTACACTGAGAATAATGATAAACCCAAAATATTGTATCCTGTTGTTGTGAAGTCAGCACTCCTCAGTGGTCAAACCTTCTGCTGCCTGAACCACCTTTGAGGAAAAGATATTCAATACGTGTATGTTGCTTCAGTAATGATGCAACAGGTCATATGGTCTCTATCTCTGATCTCCACCAACCTCTCCACATTCTCTAACACATTATGACACCTTCTCAGTTCAAACATTTCTGTCACAAGTAAAGAGATAAAACAGCGGTCAGCGATGCGTTAGGCAAACATCCTGCCAGCACAATACTGCGGCGGTCACTGTGCAAACATGACCAGTTCAAACACCAGCTGCACCTGTGGCCACGTCAGTTCGAGTCCACGCTTGCTTCCTGCTGGCTTCAGCTCCCTGGCCTTCCTATTAAGAGAGCCTAACAACTGCGATGTCGTTTGAAAGTTCAGCTCTTTGACCAGCTGCAAAGCAGCAAGTGTTGTGAGAATGGAGCATCTTTCAAGCTGAGCAACTGAGCTCTGGCCTAGACAAGCAAATAAAAGCTTCAGGAGCTTGCCACAAGCAAACAAACAAAACCTTACGTGTAGCTTCGTGTGTCATTTCTTTCACAGTGACCGAGGTGCTATGAAACTTCAGCATGGCATAAGTATATCAGTTCAAAATCTGATATTAGGGTGTGCTGTGCTTGGGCAGAGCTGGTGGAAGAGGATTTGGCTATCCACCAGCAGAACAGAGAGGCTTTGTGCTGAGGAATGTCGTTTTCATAACACCCCATTTCTTTGGGGGGTGACCGCAGGCCAGTGCCGGTCCATCTGGTGGCCTTTTGTAAAACAATCTCGCTTTCCGACGGCATGGGGTGGGGGGCTTAGTTAGTATGCACCCCGCACCTATCTAAATGTACCCCACCCCCCTTCATAACTAGACTGCGGAAGGCTGAGAGACGTCGCACACTGTCTGGTTAAACCTCACACGACACACACGAAGTCTATGGCTGCGATGATTAGTTCAGAAAATCGACAATGTTGATTATGAAGAAACATCACCATAAATTTGTATTAATGTGTCATTAAATTATTTGCAATATACTATATTAAGTGCAGAGGATGATATGGTTGCTATGGGTTTGATGCACCATAAATGAAGAAATCACTTGTTGCACAGACAAAACTTTGAATGATGGCTGTAGCAGTCCCGGACAAAGTACAGAAATCCAGTACTTGAGTAAAAGTAGAGATACCCTTGGTAAAATATTAGTCAAGTAAATGTGCTGCAGGTGCTTTTGTACCTCAGTTCAAGTAAAAATGTAAATGGAGCACATTTACTTGACTAATATTTTTCTTTAAATCTGAAGATTGTCAGAGTTGCCCAGGACTAATTACAGTTGCTAAGCTATGAGTTGACATTCAAACATAGGTGTGCTATGATTGGTTTGATGTATCTGTGAAAGTGCATCATAGTCTTTGATATATTATGGAAAATCTAATTTTTACTTCACAGTGTCTTGCAGAAAGTAATGGATTGTATTGAAATATAGTGGAGTGAAAGTAAAAGGCCAAAAAAATGATTTATTTTAAGTAAGTAGGTAGGTAGTAGTTGATAGGAAAAAGAAAATTACTATTCAGAAAATGGTTAATAGTTCAATCATATATTAATTAAATTATAGAAATTGAACAGCAACACTAGGAATGTGGTAGCATTGATATGGCTAAAACAGGCTGGGTGCTATTCCACTGAGTATGGTATTGGGGTTGTGTCCAGTGCCATCCCTGTCACAGGGAATCACTTCTATGCGGTGAAACTGCTGTGGTCAAAGGCAACGCATGGAGAGTGGAGGTAGTGTAATCCGCGTCATTAGCGGAGCTTTAACGGGATTTGATGCCATTGGATGAATTGAAGGCTCTCGCACCTCAAGAGCTACCCTAGTTCAACAGGCAGGAGGCTCTTAGGGCCAGACTTGCATTCCTTATGGACCAGCAGCCCATTCACAAAGCCTGCTAAGGGGGCTCCCAGTGGAGGATGGTGGGAGTGGTTGCCATGGGGAGCTGTGGACAGGGCAGAGGGAATGTGGACAATATCTTGCACACATGGTGACCTAGGACAGTGGACTTCATGATGATTTAGTATGATGGACAAAATCTCAACTCGGTTCTCATTAATAGATGCCAGGCGTTTTCAGATGTAATTAATGAATATAGCAATTTTACAAGCCTATATGTTCACAAGTCTACCCTAGTTCTCCAATGTGGCTAGTCTAATGCACATTGTTTTTATTTAGCCCTACTAACTGTCAATTTAGGCTACTATAACTAACTAGGCTAACCTAATGACTGTTTTTATAGCTATGCTAAAGTTTCAGCCTCAAGGCTCTCAAAGACACCATATGTAAATGGATGTGTTCCTCTGTTATGATAAATCCAATTAAATTTTGGATTTCATAGATTGTTTTTATCTAAAATGTTAAGTGAATAGTTGTTGCTTTTATAAAAATGCAATTTAATAAAAAATAAATTAAAATATTTTCATACTTGTGGACCACTAACCACTGGCAGCTCCTGCTGCCCACTACCTATTGGCAGCCTTAACAGAGGCTGGCTAAGCATCCCAGCAGGCAGACACCAGGAAGGAGCTTAACTGGGCTAAGCTGCAGTGTCTGCTCTCTCTGCCTCTGATCACCGCGTCTGGCTGACACCAGCCAGTCTGAGTAAACATGGGGCAAAATCATGCTGCTTAGGATGTTAACACTTCAAGCCCACGGCCTAATTACCACCGGATACTGGTCAGTCCCACTTAGCCACAACAGTACACTGACTCAGCCACTTCCCCCACTTTCAAAAAGGCAACTTATTGCTGTGACGCTTTAAGTACGTCACAAAACTCAAAACACAATTGTTTAAAGACTCTACAACAAATGAATCCTTAGGTGGTACTGATTTAAATCTAAACATACAAATTTATAATGTCCTTGAGATAGTTCAAACCAAATCAGCGTGAACCAAATTCATCATTAACATACACCCTTTGTGTTTATAAATAGAATTCCATAAATCACATGATAACAACCTAATTTAGTCTTTTGTGAGTAAATATTTTCACTCTCCCATTAAATACTGTGTACAGCATCTGCTTGCCCTTAATTACTGCCTCTTTTTTTAAAACCAAATCCAGTTTGTAGAATTTTGTCTGTGTGCCCCACTGTCAGTCTGGCTAGCATTTTAATCACTGGACGTCAAAACGAGCCAAATGATTTGAAGCCATTCACAAACAGCATCTGCTTTTGGACCGCATCTCTGCTGGCCATCTGCGGGTGAGACACAATGAACTGAATTAAACAAATCTCATGTGCAAAAACTAGTATCCTGCCACCATGGTGCAGGCCACAATGCCTGGCCACACAATAGATGATGCACGGGCAGTTTGTGATGGCTCGCCAATCCACAGGACCCTTATCTCCTATTGAGCATCTACTTGGCTGAGTAAATGCATGTTGGGGTGTGTGCGCTATGCCCAAGGCTCTCCTCTCATCAGCCTCCAGTTTCTTTCTGTATTCAAAAGCCAGCAACTGGGACACACTCAACTATCTGCTGTCAGTGCTTGTGCGATACAGTAGCATGGCTGGGTAACGTTACCATTTCTTTTGGCGGCTGTCTTTATCACATGAGCCCCATGAGGCAAAAAGGGAAAGAGTTTTTTATTTCCATTTCTATGGCTGAAGAGAGCCTGCGCACCCCAAATATCAACCACAAACTGCTCATTCACACAACTGCCAATATGTCCATTCTTCAATTCAGTTTTTTTTCCTCACTTGGCACTTTTATTATTATCCTATGGAGGGATGTTGGCATATTTTTTGCATGGTTGTACTGTATAATTACTGCTCTGTGAGTGGTTATGCTGATTAAGTCTGTATTGGGAATGTTTTGACAATGTACTGCCTTATGTCAATACGAGTTTAAAATGTATTTCGGTCAATGGGATAGGAGCACTGATTGCTATGGCCATGTAAGAATGAGGCGCTCTTGCGGCTCTTGTGGTTTGGAGCCTCTGGCCCAAAAAATCCCTCAGCCTAAAAGCTTTAGACAGTAAGCAAACTGACCTTGCAGCTACGTAAAGAGTCCGGTTCGTTATGACAATAAGCTGAATGTCCAACTTGTGTCGTTGTGTACTGTTCCTTCCTGGTTTGTGCCCAACAAACACTGGGTACTGTTTTGTATCTGAAATGAAGTGAAAATTAAGTTAAACATAGAGGCAAAAAAGTCATAGTGAACAAAGAGTCAAAGAGTGGTACACCATCAAATAATGTGGTAGGTGAGTCGGGTTCACAGAGAGAGAGAAAAAAAAAACTATGGGGAAGCAAAATGCACTCTATATCTCTGTGCCCCATATAGCAGTTAGTCTTCTACATAAGGCTTTAAGCTTTGACAGGAAAAATAAAGGATTATCCTTTGATGTCAGAAAGACTCCATTTCAAATAGCATTTTAAGTTCACACTTTCTTGTGTGCTTCCCTGGGCAATGAATCATATTTCACATTCAAACACTGTGTGGCGAGAGAGGATAGCAGGTGTGATTGACAGAGAGAGAGAGACAGAGAGAGAGAGAGAGAGAGAGAAGAACTGTATGTAAAAAAGAAAAAGACCCACAGAATCAGAGGAAAAAAGACAGAAGATGGAGACAGAGAATGAGAAGGAGAGAGACAGAGGGAATGTGTATGTGAGTGACAATATGAGAGAATGAGACATATGGAAGTAGTCAAGTCAAATAAGGGGGAGAGAGAGAGTGAGAACTGTGAAAAAAAGAAGAAAGACAGAATCAGAGAAAGAAAGACAAAGGCAGAGAGCGAGAGAGAAGGAGAAAGAATGAATGAGATAAAACAGGAGAGGTAGAGAATGAGCGTAAAGGAGAGAAGGGACAGTGGGAGAAACAGAGAGAATGTGAGAGAGAGAAAGAGAGAGAGGGGAGAGAAAGACAAGGCGGGAGGAGGAGAGAGAGGTGCAGACGTTCTTCCAGCAGCTCCTGGTTACTCACAGTTGCCATGTGAAATACTGATTGGCTCTGAATCCTCTGGGAAGCCGGCCCCGGCTATCTGCAGCAGGGTGAAATACAGCAACAAGGCCTCCGACCTCATTGTTGCACTGCCTACTGGCTCCTGATTACTACTTTACTTCAGCCTGCAGAGAGAAAGAGATACAGACAGAGAAAGAGAATGAGAGAGAGAGAGAGAGAGACCCATTACATCTCTTTGTTCCTTGGTTAATCTCATCTCAGAGTAAGTCTACACAATATAAAAAGTACCATATTGCAATTATTTTGCTGCATATCGCAACTACTGAACCATTTACTTGAAGACTGTCCTGTTTTATTTTGACCAAAATTATGTCTTGATTCAGCAAAATGCCCACAGAAACTGATTTGGAAAGTCTGAAATGCTCACATGCAATAAGAAATTCTATGATCGATTAGAGTGCTCATTTGCATATTAGAATTCCAAAGGCCAATACTGTGCTAACAGTTAACAAATGATATATTGCACAGCTCCTTCTCACAGCCACATGCAGAAATGAGCCATAGACACACAGGCTAGTAGTGACTTCACAAACCTGCCTTGCCAGCAAAACAAATTAATTGGATTAGCTCAGTAATATGCGTCATAGATCGATGGCCGAGATTGAGGCAGACCTGTTGTGCTGATCCCGTCGCTCCTGAGGATCTGAGGGGTTTTTGCCTAGCATGGATCCTGGCCAATAAATTAATAGGGGAGGCTCATATGATTAGATCCAGAACAGAAATGATTCACCAAAGAGCCCGATTTCCATTACTTTCACAATCCGAAACCTGGGCTCTGCTCTGCTGAGTGGATTTATGGCAACCTACGGCCTTGCCGATGTTTTTATTCCTCCCTGATTTTCTTTGTTCATTGTAGCAACGAATTACCCCCACAAATCAGGGCAGATAATTAGACTGGATCCAGAACACAATCAGAGCTGACCGTTTAATTCTCTCAAACCCAAAGTCACGCTGGGTGGATAGCAGAGGATTTCTGTCTTTTTGGTTTTTTTTGTTAGCGTTGTTTGGACCCAACACAATTCCCAACTCTCCTGCTAGTCATCTCTGCAGCTAAGTGGTGCCAGCAAACAGAGGGAGAAAAAAGACAGAGAAAGTGAGGAAGAGATGGGGAGGAGGGCAGGGTGAGTGACAGAGAGAGAGAGAGAGAGCTCTTTCCATGTGCCTGTGAATCCCATTCAGAGTGCTGGATGAAAACACTATTCACTGCTCAGATTCCCTTAATAGCAAAGGGCGCGCAACTGAAATCCTAGGAAACAACCTTGATGGAAGAGAGTGTGGCTCTCCAATACATACTCTCTATGCACTTTATCTCTAAGTGTGTGCATCAAAAGTATATAACAACAGAAACCTGAAAAAGGACCACAGAACTATGCACTATGTCTATGACAGGATGATTGTAGCACTTTCCACACTGCTCTGTAAACAACCAGCACGGTGCCTGTAATTGTTTTGTGCCTACCTTGGCTGCACTGGCACTGGGCAACCGTGTGATTGATGACCTGGACGCAGCATAGGCCATGTCAGACCTTGGGCAGGACAGGCCACTGTAAATATAATCACAGCAGAGTGTCCTGAGATGTGACAGATATGGGCCGAATCCGACTACCTGTCACTTGGTACGCAGCAAGTTCTGTAACCAATTATGGCCCTTGTTACTTTTTTTTATTAACAACACACTTTTCCCAGCACTATGGACTGTGCTAATTTAAACGATACTTCAGCCAAAACCCACTTACTCCAAATAAGGTCTATGAGGCCATTGCAACTAACACGTAATAGATGCTTATGTATACCAATTGCCATGCCTAATTCATCACCTACTTGCCTCAAACTGCAGTGAGTTGGACTTGCTTATGTGTTTTCTGACAATGTATGACATACAGTTATCTATACAAATAGACAAAAGCATGGACAAAGATCAGGCTTCAAGATCAGGCTTCTGCAACTGCTTTTAGCTATGCAAAGTAATTTTGCCCATTTTAATAGATAATAGTTTACCAGTGTCAGGAACCCACATTACTTAGTCTACTTGAGATTACTTAACAACTTGCTGTGTATGGCATGCGCCCGCCCCCTGGGCCCCGCCTTCCTGTCGGCTCTCGCGGCCGTCATTATCGGGGCCCGGGGGGCGGGCGCATGCCACACTGTGGTTTGAGGCAAGTATGTGTAGACTGAGGTGTACAGGTTGCATTATGCTATTTGGTGGGGCATAAGATTCCAGTATTATTCAGCCCCATTGACTCCAGTCCAAAACTAAAGAAGCAAACACTGGACAGGAAAGACGATGATCATTTTTTACTGAGTAAACTGAAGCAGACACTGTGGCTGATGTTATCTCTTCAACACACAGTGGAATGATTATACTGTGTGAAATGGATGCTTGTGAAGATGATGTTTACAAGCTCACAGAATAGACAGCAGTGGCTCTTAGAAAATAATTACTACCTGTGCAAAATAATTACTCTCACGTAATTGAATAGCCCCCAAGGTACATCTAAAAGAGTCTTGTTTAGGCCCACAAAACATTTTCTACACTAAGGTGAAGACAAAGACATGAAAAGCACTTTATCATTTTCTGACACAAGAAGCAGCAATTACATAAACCAGCTGGGCAAAAACAAAGTCAGGGTGGATTTCATTGCCTTCGGAGGACAAACAGCTTCGATCTGAATAAAATGCATTAGATATGATGACATATTTTGTTTAGTCGATGAAAAGTAGTGGTAATCCCTCCACCTGAACACAACAGAATTCTTACATATGGGAATATGTGTGCATTTTGTGGGGGGCTGGGAAACTCAGAGGAGGAATGGGCACTCCCATGAAACACGATTATAGATCTGTAGTGCTTTCATATCTGATGTCAAATACATGGCCTTGAACTTTTATGTCAGTATTAATACAGTGGCCAAGGAGTGAGAGACACAAACCCCTTTGTTTCGGTATGAAATAAAGCAGGTGGGTACTCCATATGCTGGGAGGAAGCGTGTGGCAGGTAATAAAGCTCAGCGGAAATAAGACTGCGTCTGGAATGCACAGATGCACTTACACTTACACAGACATACAGACCTGCATGCACGCTCACACACCCTCACACACTTCGCACCTGTAAATGACTGTTCATCCCCTGTGAACCGCACCCCACTTCAGCAATGCGTATAATCGGACGAAGTAACATCACAATGTTCACCAAACTTCAATCAAGCTAACCACACGATACAACTGGCCAGTGGAGATTTAATTGAATAACCGCAGACATGCAGACCACTTCTTCAACATGAAGTGTGGAGAGCTGGGCAGATAAACAAGCTGCTGTTGAGTGACAGAGGAGTAATTTAGAGTGCAGCCGGTGCCTCTGTCCGGTGTGGAAATAGCTTCACGTCAGCCTGGTGCAGGCAAACACCCGCTGTCTGGAGGAGTAGAACCAGAGAGCTGAGCGGCTTGTGGCAGCAGACAGTGGCTTTCTACGCATAGCTCCAGACAAATGTCACAGCAGCATAATGATCTGATTTACAATCGATCAGCACTTCAAAGGCTTACGACTGGTGGGCGTTCCTCCTTCAGGCCGGAATTAATTAAAGCAGCACTTGACGATGTGGCCTGTAATTGAAACGCTGGCTAAATGAAGCTTTTTCACCCCTTACCAAAGAGGTTACTCTTGTTCATAACTTCACAAGCTGGTAAAAGAGACATTGGTGTGGTGGAGAAAATGAAATATATATCTATATAAAAACCCCTCTCACATAAACAAACAGTCAATTAAGGTGAAGTGGCTTTCAGACATGAAAACTTTTACTAGAAAAAATAACCGTAACACCAGCCCCCTTAATTTGACCATGGGGCGGCTTTGGTCCTTTTGTCCGATAAACCATTCGTGAAGGCCCCCGACTGTTGCTTCAAACAGTGGTCTAAAGAAAGAACGAGGTTATGCATTTAAATATCAGAACCTTTTCCATTCCCGTCAATCAGCTGGGCCCGACAGAGACAACCCAATTCAATCAGGCCAGAGCCGACTGCAATGGGCTGAGAGGGCATAACAGAAATTTATTAAAGATAAGAGAGAGGCTGGAAATCATATCCTGCCTCACTTTGATCCATTTATCATATCTTGCGCTCCATTCATGCCCGCTGTTATTCATCTGCTTTCAACACTTCACGCAAAAGAAATGGATGACGATATCAAACATTATGACATGCATGTATACATGACTAGCTGAGTGGCTTATCCATTCAATTTCCTGTTTAAAAAAAATGGAAATGAGGGAGAGCAAACCTGAACCACTCCAGTATATAAACCTTAGGTTTAACAATAAGTATGGACTTAAGGTTCAAAGTAAAGCTCCATGTCTGAAAATTGAGATGGCACTCTATTGCTTCTTTGTATCGGAAAACCAGTTAAGAAACCTCTACGGGGAAAATGTTATAAAAAATGTTATGATATTTTGTCTGCAAATGGACCAAATATCATATTGCAACTGTTTAAGTGGTCAATTTTACCACTGACCACTTAAATAGGGGTATCCAATTTATTCCGCTTCAGATTTTCATTCCAACAAAGCATACAAGATCAACTCGGACCAACTGATTAAACAAGTGGAATCAGTCGTGCTCCTGTTTGATAGGAAAATCTGCAATTACACCAGCTCTTCGTAGATAACATTTGACACCCAACTTAAATATATGACACAGTTAAAAATGGACGTGCACATATGCATACATATACATTTATATTTTTTGTGGAGATTGGATTATTGTGTATACTAAGCACAGCAAAAACTGCTTATTCCTTAGAGCACTCATCTACAAAGTCTATGTATTGAAGACTTCGGCAATATCATATTGCACAGACCAATGCTGTAAAAATACATTGTACATAATATTGTGTAGCCCTCCTTACAACCATTTCAGGATTAACTTAAATGCGCTGAAAGAAACAGAAATACTGCATTCAACTCTAAGTGGAACGCATGCTGAGAGGGTCTCAATAACAAGCCATTCTACAAACGCTGCAGCACTAGAGCCCCTCTGTACCTTTCTCTGTTCTAGTGCCACTGCCTTTCTGCCAAAACACTCCAAGCATTTCTGACACTTCAAATTGTGTGGT